ATGGATAAAAAAATGAAAGTGTTTGACATCAGAGCTTTCAAGCCCCTCAGGTCCTACTTCCTTCCCACTGGAGCTTCATGTTTGTCTCTGAGCCAGAGAGGACTGTTGTCTGCAGCCACCGGGGACATTGTTCAGGTGACTGTCTGCAAATCACTTATCACAGATATAGTGATCTGATTGCAAGGAAATGGGTTTTCACTATCTTGATGTGGGTGGGAAACTGCAGCGTTTTAAGAAGTGATTTGCGAAAGCTGCAGTGTGTGATTTTTATAAGTAATATACTTTCAAATATTTGTCAAAACCGCCACTATTTTGTGTCAGCATAGAATGAGACAAATGATCTGTGATTAAATGACACTCCTTTTCCTCCTCCAAGTGCTCCTACTGCCATCTGCAGAAATACATTGCAGATGGCAACCACACAACCAATCAGAGCCAAGAGGAGGGTTTTTTTCTTTGATGCTTTGTAACTGTTTTTACAGGATTAAAATGTTTTTGCCAACTGCGACAATAATTTCTTAAAACAAGAATTTGGTGTACAAGTTTTAATATTTTTTCTGTTCCACATCTGGTCAATATTCATACCTCCTCTTGGTTTATACATCTCTTTACATGTTGCAGGACAACTGCATTGCTATAGTTATTATTAATCTCCTGGTATAATTTTTGCTAGATATCTGAGGATTCCTCTTCTCACAGTTGATGGAGTTGATTTAAATATTTCTGTTCCCTGTTGGAGGAACAGGATTATTTAGCAGGAAGGTTTCAGAACTTGAATTTTGTTTTGGTTTAGAAAGTAATCTATAAATCCTTTCAGTGAATGTTGGTAACTTTTTTAGTCTCTCCCTCCAGGTTTACAGGGATGTGTGGAGCACACCAGTCACTAAACCCTACATGGCTCACCGGGTGCGAGGGTCAGTTTGGGGACTTGGCTTTTGTCCCTTTGAGGATGTCCTTGGAGTTGGACATGGAGAGGGTTTCACCAGCATGCTCGTACCAGGTCAGCTCGTCTTTGTAGCTTTCAGTTAAACATAACCTCTCCGGTATTTGAGCTTTCATGCACAAATACAGCATTGCAATGGGGTTTTGCATAAACTCTGTGGTCAAACGACATAACATTATTGCTCATGCCTCTAGGTTCTTATGAGCAAGGATGGATGTTTGCCTTCATGTATGCAGTTTTCTAGTATAAAGCTTCAATGTCGATAAGAAAATGTAAAAACCAAACTTTGCACTTGTTTCTTTAATTATTTGGTGTCTGGTGAAGCACAAAACACTTTTGCAGCACAAAATAACTATAATTTTTTTTACCATTTTTAACATTTATTCATTTTGTATATGAATAGAAATATTGCTCTATTTTAAGAAAAAGCTTTTCTAAAGATGTTTGTTCACTATACTTTGGCCCTTTTTACAATCACAGGAGCTGGGGAGCCTAACTTTGATGCCCTGGATGCAAATCCATACCGCAGTACAAAGCAGAGGCAGGAGTGGGAGGTCAAGGCTCTGCTGGAGAAGATTCAGCCTGAACTCATTACGTTGGACCCCTCAGAGCTGGGTCATGTTGATCGTACCACCTTTGAACAGAGGCATCAAGACAGAGTTGAAGCTCTGGTCAGTTGTTAGACTTCTTTCATAGATGCAACTCTAGACATGATTTACTGCACTGAAGGTGTAAAATGTGCAGTTTGTTAAAGGATAAGCCTTCTCTTTCAGGGCTTTGATCCTCTTGCCAAAGAGAAATTTGTTCCGAGACATAAGAAAAAAGGTCGCAGTTCCACTGCTGGTATTGAAAGGCGGAAGAGGCAAGTGGCCCATGAGGACCAGAGGGTAAGCATTTCCTTAAAGTTGGCCCTGTAATATTTCCTCATTTTTCAGTTAAAAAGAAGCATTTATGTGGGGATTTTGTGATAGGCTGACAAAGTAGTGGATAGTTGTGTAGTGGAAGGGAAAAAAGGCATTGTTTTGCACAAATAACATCTGAACAAAGCGATGATGAATTTTTATACATCGAGTCAAAATTATTGTAATGTCACAAGTTTCTGCAATTACTGCTGGTTTGTCTCTACCAGCTTTGAGCATCAAAAAGCCAAAAGCTTTGCTTATTCCACATATTCTCTGTTAGAATTTGGTCTGGACTTTGACTAGGTCATTCTATGAAGTATGAAGGTGATTTGATCGAAGCTATTTCTTTCCAGCTCTGGCTGTTATGTTATCCCTCTATCTTTCTACCCTGTCAGTCATTCAATATTTGGTTCCATTGTCTGTTGTATCTGCTGTTGTCTTTCTCCTCCCTTTACATTTACTGGTATTTTATACTTTTATCAACCTATGTACACAAATGGTCAGACAGTGGAAAACAAAATCTGTAACCGTGTGAAAAGTTTTTATTGAGACTTTCCCAGAATAACTAGATTTAAATGACCTGCAGGTCAACTTCTGACTGCAGCTGGTTGCACCTACTTTTAATTGTGCTATATTGGAGCTAAGGGGTAGAATACAAATGCATGCCACACGTTTCAGATTTTTATATATTGGAAATTAATAAAATATTTATTTCCTACCACTTCACAATTATGCATTACTTTGTGTTGATCACAATGAAAGACATTGAAATTTGTGATTGCAATTCAACACATGTAGAAAAAGATAAAGAGGTGGATATATTTTTAAAGCTGCTATATGTGTCCCAAGTCCTTTTTTACTGTATTACATGGTGCTGAAGGAAGGCCTCACATCTATTTCTTTAGGTATGGAAGCTAAAGTATATGAATCTTAAGAGGTTTATTCCTCTTAATCTAACAACCATTCAAACAATATTAAATTTCTTATTCATTATCAAATGATGATTTTTGTGATCACCTTTTTTGTTGATGTTTTTCATGTCATTAAAACCGCCTACTTGTTCTCCAGAATGTCTATAATCCATTTTGCTTGCTGGCTGTTGCAGGACGTCATCAGAAAATCTGTGGAGGACAGAATGAAACTGGAGGAAGAACGAAACAGGATGAAGGAGAAGAAAGCAGCACTGTCTGGAAAAAAATCTGCTCTAGACAGATTCAAAAAATAGAAAAGGACTCTTTGTGCAGCTCAAACGCAGTGGGCGGGATCTTTGACCTTCACGTTGAAACTTTTTTAGGACTCGGTGGTCTGCTGGGACATCGAAAGCAGAAGTTCATGGTGTTGTGCGCAGCCACAGGATGCAACATCCGGCCTGGATTCTGATGGGAAACAGTTCATAAAATCAATGTTGAGAGCACCGGTTGGTCTGCTCTACTTCCTGACTGTAGCCTGGAGCAGATTCTGTTTGTGATCATGTGGTGGATGACAGCAGTCACCCAGATTCTTCTTTTAGTACTAATAAAAACTTTCCCTGCATGTTTGACCTTGTCAATTGTGTTTTTCTTTTGCTGAGATAATTTCTTTCATATTTTTATAGAAACAAAATGAGCAGACTGCTATGCAGTGTTGCTTCACAACAATTTAAAGGGATAAATGCAAGAAAATAACGACATTCAAGGAAATGACACTAAATCCATTTAAGTTCACAGGTGTCATTTGGATTCTGTTTAAATATTATGAAACTTCTTTTAGATTCATGACAGAAAATTATCTTCTTCAGTTAAGTCCAACATGATTCACACCTCTGGAAGATTTAGAAAAACTTTGTCTATTAGAAAATGAGACAGCCATGTTAAAAAATAGCATAACTGTTTGTATTCAAGTTTTGCTAAAAAAAAAATGCGTGTCAAAAAACATTTCTACCCTCATCAGTGGCAAATTGAAAACTTTTTTTGTCTTTAGTAATACAAACCTTATAACGGCTGCCGTTTTTTTTTTTTTTTTTTTTTTTTTTTGCATATCCATGCAAAAAAGGCACCATGCCTTTCTTTAACATCATTCAAAAAATATATATTTGCATGGATGTTGTTTGTATCCATGCAAAAAACAGAAGACAAGTATTTTGAACTTCTGCCTATGGTGATGAATTACAAGTCCACAGATTCTCCATCAGATATGATTTCTCTCTGGGCCACTCAATAATGGTAATACTTCCAGAACAAAGAGTTAAATTATAAATATTTTAATCTAAACCTGCCAGGGGTATAAATAACCCTGGGCAAGTTACTGTGGTTGCTTTCATTACTGAAGCGTCTCTGACAGGTTTCACCACATTGCTCAAATGCTTTGAAAGCAATAGCTGTGCAGTTGTCTGCTTAGGACAGTGGAAGTGACTAACCTTTTGTCTGGCTCTGAGGAGTCATACGTTTTGTATATTCCAGTATGGCTCTGATCCAGAACCACGCCTGCAAGTTCATAGAAAGGAAACCTTTTAAACATATGTTGTATAAATTGTAGTTTCTCATAATCTATGTCCTTTTAGGAAATTGCTGATTTTTTTTGTTGTTTTTGTTTTATATTGACAGATAATTCTTCCTCTCATTGAAGCCTACAAGTACGTCCTGGTAAACCACTTGACAGTTTCAACATAGTGGGGATTTTGAAGGTGGAAGAAACTCTTGAAATAAAAAAACTTTCCTTCTCAATTAATACTTTAATTTCATTGGAGAAAAGCTGTCCAAATCTGCCTGGCTCCATGTCGAAAAAATAAGCAAACCAAGAAAAAGAAGCTGAGGAAATAGATCAATAAAAGCCCAAACTGATATTAATCTGTTTATATAACTTTTGACCACAACTACATGAAAGACATGAAATTAATAATAAATTAGTAGAGGTAACCTCACCACAATAAAATGTTTGATAAAGAACTGTTTATTCTGAGCACAAAGAAGCATTTATAGCCAATTATTTACAAAAGGGCTTATGCTTTTGGTTAATCATGGGTTTATGCAGCATGGAGCAATTTTTCTAAGCTGGACTGTTGCCATCCACACTCCGGTCATGGTTAAGTTGTGTTATTGGAGCTTCATTTTCAGAATCACTCAGGATTATTTGATCCTGTTGATTTGTAGAAACTGAAAGGAAAACACGCAGAGCAGTTTCATCTCACATGTGATTGTTTATTGATGCAAGAATTCGATTCATACATTTCCCGAGTGAGAAAAAGAAGAAACAAAAAACACTCAGGAAATGTAAACATCATGTTCATAATAAACATTTATTTTTATTAACAAGGCACACCAAAATGGTAGCGCATCCTTGGTGACATTATTTCACCATTAACAGTATAGTGCCACTCTTCATTTGTGAGACAGCTATCAGATGAATCACTTTCAGTCACTGGATCTGATAATTTAAACCTCACTTTTTATCATTCTTCTAAGTGCCACCATTTAAATGTCATACAGACAATACAGGTTATAAATTTAATTTATTTTTGGAGTATTTTTCCAGTGGACTTCATTTGTGCTGTTTTATGGAACTGAATCTAATGCTATTATTTTGCAATACATGCATTTAGGCTTTTAGACTAAGTTCTAAATTAAAGAAGTTTGCAACAAACTCCTTATCTTGACGTTTTGATATTGGACTCAGATGTCAGAGTCTGAAAGCATTTCTCCATATGTCCATTCATCATGAGCAATTGTATAAGCAGCATGCTTATATTTGTTTCTCAGCTGCATGTTGTCAAAGGTAGATGCTGTGAGACAAACTTAGAAAACCTGAAATTATTCTGTTTTCTGAGGGGGGAAAAAATAAATCGACGTTCTTATAAAAATAAAGCTCTAATGATGACAATTAGCCTAAATGCTATCAGTGCAGGTAGATTCACAGCTTGTAGAACAGTTGTGCGAGGCAGAGCGCCAGTGAGTCCTATAACCTCCTAATAGCAGTCACGGTCATTTCTCCAGGCCCAGGGCTGAGCCCAGCATCGCCCTGACTTTGCACATCCCCAGAGAAGCTCGCTGACTCAGCCAGGAGCAGGTGGGGGATGAATGGACATCTTTCCAGTAGTCCAGCATCTCCTTGGGTGTGATTTGGTGGACGGACACCATAGCTTGATAGCAGCAGCGTCCGTATGGCACAGGTGGACCCCCGGCGAAGAGAGGGCAATGTGAGGGCCGCACTCCAGCAGCGTAGGCGCAGAGGCCGACAAACACATCCTCGGGGGGTAGAGGAGTGGACAGAGGCGATGCCGATGCTGCAAGGGCAACTTTGAGCAATGCAGAGCGAGAAAAGACGTAGGCTGTGCCGCTGCAATAGTCGGGGAACACAGACAAAGGATAGGCCCCTGATGGGAGGTAGTGCTTGCTGTCTGGGTCGCGGTTTGGGGCCACACGGAGATGGACTCTACCCAGGTACAAGTCCCCTTGCTCGTAAGGGTTCCGGCTTTTGTTTAGGAAATGCAGAAGAACGCTGGGATTGAAGAAGACGTCATCGTCCACCTTGGCCATGAAGTGAGCTTGAGGGCAGAACCTGCGGGCCCAGCCCAGCATGGCCAGGGTCTTCAGGGTAAGGTTGGAGTAGGAGTCCAAGAACCGGCCCTGAATCACGTCCCCTTTCTCCCTGGCTTCTTCTATCAGCAGCTTTCCCAGGCCGGGGTCAGAGGCCACGCCCACCATGAACAGGGTCATGACCCGCAGGCCCCGCACCTCCACCTGTCCACCCCAGGTGTCTCTGATGGCCTGACGAGCCCGCTGATTGGCAGGGGCCGAGGTCACTATGGTGATGAGGTAAGGCTTGGCGCGCTGGCACACGAGCGGGCTGGGCATGAGCAGGAACTCCTCGGGTCTGGAGGGGGGTAGGCTCTGGGGCGAGACGATGGCGACATGCGGCTCCACCGCCCTGCTCATGCCCATCGAGGTGACCCACGTCTCAATGATGTCCAAGAAGAGCAGCGCGAGCACCGCGGCGCACGCCAGGATCCCGCACAGGGACGGGAAGATCCCCGTCCTGTTTCCGCGCTTTCCTAACCTGGGCTTGCAACATCCCCTTCCGACCATGATCACCATCATCATCCCCTTCTCTGCTGCTGCTGCTACTGTTGCAAGCAACGACAAAAAAAATAAATAAATAAAATAATAATAATAATAATATCCTTGTCTTCTGGCAGCTTTTCCTCCCCCTCCGCTCCTATCGTTGCTTCACGTGAAGACGCATTCCTCTGGGTCCGCTGCGCTCTCCTCCACCTTTCTCTGCGGCAGCTTTTCGTGCCTGCTGCAGCCTTCTGTCTTTGATTTGGAGGGATGTGCAGTTGCGCAGATTGAGCTCTGTCGACCTGGCAGCGGCTCGCAGCAGTTTTTACTGCTTTTAAAAAATAAATAAATAAATTTATTGCTATTGCTGTGAAGAGGTCAGGCACCGCGGCCGACGGCAAATCTGTGCCCCGGTCCCTCAAATCGATGGGACGTCCGATATCCCGCTGCGGCGCACTGACCCAGTTGTTAATAATATGTTAATAAACATCCGATCATGAACTGAGGGTTCAGAAAACGTCCATCCAACGCTTACTGAAGATCCGCAGCGAGCGTTTGCTGGTGGTTTTTGGAGTCCGGTAAAGACAACACTTAGAATTAAGCGGATCAAACAGCGACGATAAGATGAAAAGGAAATAAAAAATGGATTGAAAAAGCATGTGGATATTCCTCATTAAAGTTATGTGGCTGAAGCTCTCGTGTACGCCTATTGTCGTCCTTACACCTGAACTTTGTGCGACACCTACTGGCTATTTGTGAGTATGAAACACAGAGATTGGTTGTCAGCTTTTTCTTGTTTCCAAACATCCTTCAAGGTCAACTCCTTGGTTACACGTCCATTCCAATAAATTATTAAAGTTGATAAAAAAAATATTTAAAAAATCCGTTAAGGATCCATCGCACACAGTGTGATACATTCTATTTGGTTATTTCTATTAATTAATGACAGCCAAGCAGTTTAAAAAAATAATCTAACCTTTGTGTGATGTTTATATTTTGGGGACTCGGCCATTGTAGGTTTTTGGACCCACTGCATTGTATTGTTTGAAAATTCAACTCAAACAAAATCTTCTTCCATTATAAGATTAAAAAAGACGTTCACTCAAATTGCATTGGTGAAAACTGCATACATGGTTGATTTCTAATTTTGAAAGAAAATATTTTATGTTAAAAAAAAAAGTACTCAGTCATATTTGCAGTCGCCCTACATTTAAATGTCTATTCAATAAGTAAGCATTTATGTTTATCTTTAAATCTACCTGTAAGGCTTTTATAACTTACTTCTTATCTTTTCTTTTTAACTTTCTATTAGGGTTAAACACCTACAAAACACATATTAACAAAGACAGGAAAGACAAAAGAGTTCGATTCTTGCTCACTCTTGAGGAGAACAGACAGAGATGTGCTTTCAGTTACAATCTCCTACCGCTCTGAAACACATTTGGCTGCTCCTCTCTTTTTATTGTTTTCAGGATCCCTAATCACAAGGACGCTGTAGCTCTAAAGGGAGGGGAAACAACTCATCACACAGCTACAGCGTCAAATGTCATTCACTAACACACAATTATTCTGCACTAGATAATCTCCTTCCAGGCACAAAGTTAAACAGAATATGTAGTCAATCTTCACAGTGACAGTTTTGTAGCAATCCAGCAACTCAAACGAAGCAGAGCTCTTCCACCAAGAGATAACCCTGCAGGAAGACTGTTGTCTCTGCTTTTTCGTCAGTGAGGCCTTCTGAGAAAGGAATCAGAGTAAATCAATAATACTGGAAACATTCTTAATTCTATAATGAGATCAATTAATAAAGGCAGAAGAAAGATAATACTATAAGATAATATGAGAATAACAAATATTTGATTAATAATATTACAATTTCTTCAATACTTTCACTACACACATAAGGACACACGTTGAATGTCAATCTAATCCTGTCACCCTAAAAATGTATTGATGTCAGCTGTGACAGATCTGACACATTAATAAAAAATAAATAAATACAGACTTTATACCTAATGCAGGGGGGCTAAAGTCTGTCCTCGACTGCCTGCATCCTGCACGTTTTAGTTCTCTCCAACAACCTTTTCAACAAGTCAGTGTTCTTCTTAGGCCTTCTGACATGTGCAAAACTCATGTTTTGCACATGTTTTGTATACGTGTGCAAAACATGGGTATGTTTTTTCAGGAAACAGGATGTTTTTTTTCTTTCTTACTGACCTGGTATAATATTTCAATCATTTGTGTATCTCAAGTCAAAATTCAAAGGGGAAAAAAAAACTGAGTATATTTGATCACGATAATGCAGTGATCAAATAACAGCATAAAATTAGAATCTTTTCTGCAAAAATTGCAGTCAGTTGCATATATCAGACTGTTTTTGAAAAGAGGGAGCCGTGCAGTTACATATATCAGACTGTTTTTGAAAAGAGGGAGCCGTGCAGTTACGATGGCGTCAATCCAGCTTCACCGTTGGCAGGCTGGTTTGTCTTGTGGAAAGGAATTTCTTTGTATATAAACCAACAATTTCCTCCCCACATATATGTATAAAGATACACATTTTGAAGTTGAATCAGAACAAATTCCTATGGTGTTAGGTTGTTTAGAATGACCAAAAAATCATTAATATTTGCTAAATGCCAGCCAGAAAACCTAGCAAGAAAATGTTGTTAGATTGTTCAGGTTTCCTTCCACAAACTTCTCACAGTTTGCTGGAGTTCTGGTGCATTCCTCCTGACAGAACTGGAGTAACTCAGTTAACTTCACAGGCCACCTTCGTCACACACACCTTTTTAGATCTACCAACAGCGTCTCCACTGGAGAAACATCAGGGCTTTGTGATGGCCATTGTCCTCCAACCCAGAAGGGAATACGGACTGAGTTTTAAAGCGTGCAAGACAATACAGAAATTATAAAGAACTATAACTCACGTCATCATAGTTTATCAGAATCAGGAAGACATGTCAGAGTGAAATACAAACATTTTACAGAAAACAAATGAAGTGTCATTAGATTTATATAGACACTCAAGACACTCAGAGACACTTTACAATATAATCAGTCATTGCCATTCACGCACACAGACATGCAAAAACCTAAATAACACCAAGCTATTTAAGCTAAATAACACCAAAAATTTTTTATGTCTTTTTTTAAATTTTTTATTACGCATAATTTGATAAGTCCCCAGACATTATGACGTCAACGCTGTCTGGCTCGCGCTAAGGTTGGAGTGGGGATGGGGGGGGGTTGAGGCACGCGGACAGAGAGGGAGGAGGAAGAAGAAGAGGGGGGAAAAACCATCATCATCATCATCATCAATGCGCTATCGGTGCGGGGGTCACGAACTATGACCTTTAACAGAAGAAAATAACAATTCTTATTTTTTATAAAACAACCGAGCGCCTTAAAGCTGAGAGCGGCGTCCCTCTGAGGTGAGTGTCAGTCCCGGACAGGCAGCATTAAAGCCCGATGAAGAAGCAGCGCTGGGTCACAAAACAGCGGCTAGCCGCTTAGCTTCCTGTCCGGCTGCGGGTGCTTTACCTCCGGGGATGAACAGAAACAAGCTGCGTGCGGTCTGGCAGTCGGCACAGGACACATTAGCCGATTATTAACTACATGTCAACGCTGTTGATTTGTTGTGCTCCCTCCATTGTGATTCTCAGAGGCAGACCACGCTAGCTGTTGCTCCATAGCCTACCATAGGTTTATTTGCGTCTAGCTAGCAGCGGGAGCTAGCACCGGATGAACTCGACCCTTTTACCTTTGCCATCCAGCTGACACGACTGGATAGAAATGTTTGTGTCAGAGATTTATTTGGAAAAGCTAATTTTTTTTTGCATCTCCAATCAGAATATTAGATGTCACCCTCTTCACTGCCTATTAAGAAAATTGTTTCATTATACCAATTATCATAACATCTGCTGTTATGTTGGCCAAACGCCAGAGTCTCCATTTTGTTCTGTGTTGTGTTTGGAGTGAAGTTACTGATGGACAAACTGTTCAGCCAATCTGTAAACAACGTGAAGCCTCACGCTCCTCCCTGTGGACCTCTGCAGGTACCTTAATCAGCTGCAGCTGGAGTCTTTGTTAAAGGAACTCTGGCTAATAAAGGTTATGTAAAGGTGTAATCATGGAAAAAAATATGTGATTACAGAAAGGCGGAAATGATGAACGATTTTGTACTTAATAAGATGTGAAAATGGGTTGTGAACCTTGCATTGGTTTTTGAGGATTAAGTGCAAAGTAAAGGAAAAGCTTTGCACTTTGCAGATCATAATGTCATAATATGTTCTCTGTAATAATAACTATTTGAGTATTTATTCTTGGTGACATGCATCCTATGCAGTTTTTCCCCCCAACTTTGAGGTTGTGATGTGACCAAATGAGGATAAATTAAAAGGGGAATGAAAATTAATTACACAAAGATATTCTTTGAGTTGTTCCATTGGCCCCTGATATTAAAAGGCAACATCAGGAATGTCTGCAAAGGCAGTAGTGGTTACTTTTAAACTGATGTATTTTCATCAGTTCATACCAAGACATATGAGGGTAAAATAATGAAACAAAATGTCTGACATTGGTCTCTTGATGCAGAGTGATATTGCTGTAGGTTCATGATCCAATAGATTCAAACCTGGCCACCTTGAGCGCTAGTACTGAATGTGTTCAAAATAGCCACAAAGTAGGTCAGTATCTTTAAAAATACAGCTGCAGTTTCACATTTGACCTTATTTAGGGGAACTCATAGCTGGTGTAATTTGGTCTAAGTGATTGCTCAGAAACAAGTTCAAAACAAAACTATTATCAGCCGTTATGAAAGAAAACACCCATATGTCACACCCCGGTTTAGTTTGGACTATCTAAAAAAATAAACCTGTTGATGAACAAAGTCTCTTGCATTCCTCTGCAGACCTCACTAATGACTCCACATGATCATGGCGACCAACCTGAACCTGCTCTCTCAGCAGAAATCAGACTCTGAGCATGAGGCAGAGGTCAGTGTGCAGAGAAAGGCTTTCTTCCTGTTTTGTTTCACATCACAGTCAAATTCATAAAGTATTATGAATCCATAATACTTTTAATAATACTTCCATATAAATAATGTTTCTATGGATTCCAGATTTAAGAACTATTTTTGTGTTTGCTAGCTGACAAAAATCATTTGTGCTTAACTGGGTTAGGGGTCATGCTCTCCATCAGATCCAGTGATGGGTGAGTCTCCCCAGCGCTTTCGGGTCATCTCTGCAGAGCCTGCCACAACACCACAGCGAATACAGGTAATCGAATCAACAGTGCAATACCATGCAGATACTGCATGGAACATATCGCTATGCTTTTATTACTTATTTACATTAATAATCACACATTTTTTTTGTCTCCCTCTTCTGTAACTGGGCTATTCAGATTGTAACCGACCAGCAGACGGGTCAGAAGATCCAGATCGTGACTGCGATGAACCCGTCCAGTGCTTCAAAGCAGCAGTTCATCCTGACAACGGCTGACAGCTCGGGGGCAAGCAAGGTTATCCTGGCCTCACCGGAGACTCACAACTCGAAGCAGGTCATCTTCACAGCTGCAGACAGCCTGATGCCAGGAAGGATACAGGTACATTTGTGCCAACATGTACCTTCCTGCTCCATAATGTTGAGAAATCTGCTGGGGCATCCTTTGTTTTAATAATTTTACTGTTTTTCTGAATGTATTTTTGACGTTATTTGGACCATTGAAAGGGGAAACTTGTGAAATATGAGTTTGCTTTTCCTTTCAGATTGTCACAGATCCAGTGTCAATGGAGCGTTTGTTGGGACAGTCAGGAGATCTAAGTCGATCTCAGCCTGTGGAATATTGCGTGGTGTGTGGCGACAAAGCTTCAGGTACTCAACCTTTCAGCTGTTCAGCTTCACTCTGTCGGCAAAAGGACTCAAACACCTTTGTGTGCTTTCAGGGCGTCACTATGGAGCTGTCAGCTGTGAGGGATGCAAAGGTTTCTTTAAGCGGAGTGTGAGGAAAAATCTCACCTACAGCTGTCGCAGTAAGCAGGACTGTGTCATCAACAAGCATCACCGCAACCGCTGCCAGTTCTGCCGGCTGAGAAAATGCCTTAAGATGGGGATGAAAACTGATTGTGAGTTTGCATCCAGATTGAGCCCTTAAATGTCGTTCCAGTTAAACAAATGTAATTAGTTGGATTAAGGAAGCCTGAACAACATTGTTTTCCTTTTACTTATACTTTCTAAGAGAGTGGTTCTGAGACAGTACAAGTAGGGATGCCCTGGTGCATCCCCAGTTGGTAAGGTATCAACAGGACATTTTAAAGCAGGAGCCCAGCCGGTCTTTTGCCTTTTTGCTTATAAAAGCACTAACTTTCTTTTTTCTTGGCACTAAATGACTAATTTTTTGTTTGTTTTATTTTGATCTAAAAATTTTAATTTCCAATTTCAAAGTTGGAAAAAAATGCTTGAAATGCTACTCTTTTTTTTGGAGACTGTTTTGGTGAAAGAAGAGGCACTGATCTTTTCAAACTATTTATACTATATGTGCCACAATAATTTCTCAGTACTACTGAACATTAAACCAAGTACCAATAGTCATGCAATGGCTGAAACTGATGTTGATCTTAACGTATTGTGAAACCGTAAGTACCAACTTGAAGCAGGCCTTGTATCTTGAAGCCTCTGATATTTGTTTCTCCTGCTAAATTGTCTTCACTTTATTTATGCCTTGAAAATATCTGAGGATCAATTTCTTCTCGACTTCTTATGTGTCTTTTTTATTATCAGAAGTAGTAGTTGTTGTATTACTCCAAAATAATATTAACAACATTCTGCCTGTTGTCGTTGTTTAGCTGTCCAGAGTGAGAGGAAACCCATCGATGTTGTTCCCAGAGAGAGACACTCCAACTGTGCTGCCTCCACCCAGAAGATCTACATCCGCAAGGATCTCAACAGCCCACTCATTGCTACACCAACCTTTATCTCTGACACGGATACAGATGGTTCCAGGTCAGGAGTAATGAGAGCTGTTCATGTGTTCGACTGTGGCTGTGTGGCAGAGTAGTCGTCTTGCAGTCAGAAGGTTGTAGGTTCGATTTCAGCTTCCTCCTGCCCCATGTCGATGTGCCTCTGGGCAATGCACTTAATTCCAAATTGCCTACCGGTCTGCGTATCGGTGTACGAATGTGTGTGCGTTTGTGAGTGCGAATGGGTGAATGTGACTAGTGTAAAGCGCTTTGAGTGGTCAAAAATGACTGGAAAAGCGCTATATAAGTTCAGTCCATTTATAGTGCAGTAAACAAGTATTTTGTTATCAATGACTCTTTTTTATGTCTTGTTTAAACAACTATTAATGCCAGGCAATGATAACCTAAGAGATACTTCTATTTTTATGGAAACATAAGCTATCCAAATCCTCCATGCTATTACTTTTTTACATAAAGCCATGTTGGTTTGGATTCGATTCTTTACAATAAATTAAGTCATAATATGAAAACTGCCTTTTGTATTAAGTCAGGTTATGGTTGTATTATTGTACAGATCCAGCCTGCTGGACCAGGGAATGCTGGTTAATATCCAGCAGCCGGTTATTCAGACTGATGGGACGTTGCTGTTGGCAACAGACTCCAAGGTACATCTGATCATAAAGACTCACCGTGCTCTGCTGTCTCACGCTGTTCTCTGCTTTGTTGAATAACTTCTAGCATCAATGTCTTTGGCTGAAGTTGATGGCATAATGTGATAATTATGTGTTTGCTTTAGATGGATTCTGAGCACGGAAACCTGGGGACGCTAGCCAATGTTGTGACATCACTTGCCAACCTTAGTGACTCCCTGAAAGAAAGCCTGAACAATGGTGATACCTCAGACAGCCAGCAGGAGGAGCAGTCTGCAAGCGAGATAACACGGTCAGTTAGTCATATTCCAAGTATTTCATCGCCACATTCATCTCAGGTCCTTCAGGAAATATTTGTATGATTTAGTAGTTTAAAAATGATGGAAATCTCTTTTATGTGTTGCTGTAGATTATGTTCTTAACTGAGTTAAAAAACGTGCGCGTGCGTGCCTTTGTGTGTTTGTATGTACTTCAATGCAGTGCCTTTGACACTCTGGCCAAAGTCTTCAACCCTCCTGAAGCAGGGGCAGAACAGAACCTGGCTGAGAAGTCACAGTGTGTCAGTGGGACTACCATCCAGCTGATTGGACGGGACCAAGAGACGCCCATCATTGAGGTGGAGGGACCGCTGCTCACTGACAGCCATGTTGGTTTCAAGGTGAGTGGAGGGAGTCTTCACTGAGATGGAAAAGAGGACGCATGCAAATCTTTAATAAACTCTTGAGAATATGTCAAATGTCTTCTTCTGTGGGCTGGCAATGTTGTGTTTTTTTTTGCTGATGTAGACACCAGGCAAGAGTCAAACCATATGCATGGTTTTTGAAATGATTCTTAATGGTTAATTGTTTATATCAGAACAAAACATATTTTTTTTGCTTTTTATTAGGACTGAACTGGTCAATCGAGATGAATCGATTACTGAGATAATCATTAACTAATTTAGTAATCAATTAGTTGTTAACTGCAATGTAAAGACTCCAAAAAAAAAACTTTTGCTGAAAGAACAAAATATTCACTGCAAGATTTAAGTCAAAATGGTACAAAAAATATTATTTTGCCCTTAAAATATTAAACCCTAAATATTTTTCAGTTGATCTTTTAGTAATGTCATAAAAAAGGCTTAAGTGGTTAATGAAAAATTTGCAGAATGTGCCAATTTTTAAGAATACGATTAATCAATTGATCGCCAAAATAATCAACAGAATAATCGATTGCAAAGATAATCAAGCAGCCATACTTTTTATGTTATTTTAATATAACTCCGGTTGTGATGTTCTTGTTCCTGTTTCTGTTTGCTCCAGCTGACCATGCCCAGCCCCATGCCCGAGTATCTGAATGTGCACTACATCTGTGAGTCGGCGTCCAGACTCCTCTTCCTCTCCATGCACTGGGCACGCTCCATTCCTGCCTTTTCAGCACTTGGGTGGGGGAGAAAAAGAAATCGGCACAACAAAAGTTTTCCTGTCGTGTTTGCAATGCTGCCATCTCCTGTTTGTTTGCAGTATGTCTTACATGTTTATGTATTTCCCAGTCAGGAGGCAAACACAAGCTTGGTGCGAGCTTGCTGGAACGAGCTGTTCATCTTGGGTCTTGCTCAGTGCGCTCACGTGATGAACTTGTCAACCATCCTCGCTGCCATCATTAACCATCTGCAAAGCAGCGTCCAGGACGGTATGGACCAAAGACGCCGTCATCATCTCACAGTAGGACACAAACATGAAAACAGGAGCAAAGAAATGTCATTTTTATTAGATTGTAGCTGTTGTTGCTTGCACTAAATGCTAACATATTGCATGTCTTAGCCTCTGAGTTGTGTGGTGTGCCCCATTCCCCAGGTATGAACATGACAGTATGTGCCCCTAATTATCAGCCAGCTTAAAACATTAATGTTTGGGGAAGTTTGTTTCTGTGACGACAAACCTGAAAGACGCAATATTTTCTGTAACATTGATCTCCAGCCCAGCTGCAAAAGCCCAGCTGTCCTGCATGTCGTAGATGTTTCCCTGCTGCTACATGCCTTATTTAAATAAAAAAAAAATGTCAATAACATGGGTCTTTGGAAGTTGAGTATTTCTTAAGTATGCTTAAGAGATAATGCAATAATTTCTACCAGATGAGTGTGGACCAAAGGACTGTATTTTTTAGGCTCTTGTGAAGATGCATAAGTCTTGCATCACTCTGTTTATTTTTTATTTTGGTGACCATTTCCAGAAACCAATTTCTGTAAATATTTGACAGCTTGTTTCTTCTTGGGCATTTTAAAAAAAAGTCAAATTTATCAGAATATCACAGTATAAAATCAAGTCATTTAGACCTTTTATTTTTTTTAAATCTGCATAATTGTCTAACTTTACAATACCTTAACGTGGCTTCATACAAAAAGCTTAGCCATGTACCTCAGTTTTTGCTCATCAAAAGACTTACATAATAAGATTAAATCTAGAAATCCAAGCCCAGGAGCCTGCTGAACTCCCTGACTACATTTGTTTAATGGGATCTGTACAGAAATGTTAGACGTTTCTTCTTTTTTTCCAGACAAACTTTCTGGAGAGAGGGTGAAGCAGGTGATGGAGCACATCTGGAAGTTCCAGGAGTTTTGTAACAGCATGACACGGCTGGAGACCGACAGCTACGAATACGCCTACCTAAAGGCTATTGTGTTGTTCAGTCCTGGTGAGAACTATCTTTAATTAAAAAAGAACTTATTTTAAACAATATGTTTACATTCAATATAAAAAACCCCTACAGAATTGGTTTTTATAGATTTCAGTTTTTTTTTTGTGTTGTTGTTTTTCCTGATGATCAGATCACCCAGGAGTGGAGAGCAGCGGCCAGGTTGAGAAGTTCCAAGAGAAAGCCCTGATGGAGCTGCAAGACTATGTGCAAAAAACATATCCTGAAGACACATACAGGTCAGTTAGTGATAATTCATGGCATTAATTCATAAACAAACTAAAAGTGAATCTTGTCACTCAGAACAAACAAGAATCATTCATCAGAACCAGATTTATGCTGGCTTCTTCATACCTTAACTTTCAAATAAATATATAAAATATAGAAATTTGACAAAAAAAAAAAAACACCTCACTGCAATCATTGTTATTGCTCCCATTTTAAAATAAGAGAGTCAGCATGAGGGAATAAATAATGTTACCTCAGACATGGTTTCAGGTGTAGTGTATGTATACTTGTATATGGTTTTGACCTAAACTTTCATGAATATAAGCAGAAATTGTATTTTTGACTGAAATAAATCATCAGGGATGATTTTGGACAAAATCTGACTAAAATAATCTTTTCCCCTAAGACTAACACGCATCCTGACACGTCTGCCTGCCCTTCGTCTAATGAACTCAAGTATCACAGAGGAACTCTTCTTCACTGGTTTGATAGGCAACGTCTCTATTGACAGCATCATTCCCTACATCCTCAAGATGGAGACGGCAGAGTATAACAGCCAGGACTCGGACACGACAGAATGACAACACACCAAGGACTTAAAAACTGTCAGTTAAGTTTGTAAAATCTCATTTTCAGGTACACGGTCTCTAGAGGGCTGTAGTGGAACTACAAATCTTTGTTTTCTAACATCACTTGCCGGATTTGGCGTAACATGGCATTGGAAAACCAGGATGACCAGGAATGTTTTCTGCACTTCATGCTGTGAGTCACTCTTTAACTACATGAAAAAAAAAAAAAATCAGTCAGCTGTAACTCCTCAACTGTCTCTTTTAATATTTTCTTCACATTTGATCCTCATTGTCAAATAGTTTGAAGTTTAAATAAGCCATACATTCAGTGATGTTGATCAAACAGATGTAATATTGAGTACCAGCCTTTGACCCCAAAATCTCAAATAAAATACCAAACACAGCCTGAAATGTAAACATCAGATTATGTAAACCTGCAGGAGGATCATATTGTTTTGGTTTCTTCTGCTGCCAGGACTTCTGCAGTCCGTACGTTTCATGTTTGTGTCAAAAGTCTCAGACTCAAACACAGACGTCTCTAATAGCCAAGAAATTTAAAGTCACTTTTACATCAGAATATATATAAATTGGATTTGTATGTTTTTTTTTTTTACTTTGATGTTTTTGTCCAAGTATTTTAACAAAAGCTAATTAACAAGCCTCACAATTGTTACATATTACCTAAATGGAAGCCTTTCACTTATTCTGTTTATTTTACGACACTTACACCCAGATCCACTGGCCTGAACTATGAAGCAGGTTCATCAAGGTAAATTTAATTTCAGGTTCAGTTTAAGATGAAGCTGATTCACTTCTTACTTTGATCTATCACTATGATAACTCATAGAAGAAACTCGGATATTAGAAAAACTGAAAATAAAGCAGTATTATTGCTCAATATTGAGAAAGATTGTAGATGTTAAGATTAACCCTTATTTCTTTAATTGTTCACGTTCTTGTTCCATCATTGTAGTACAATTACAATTATGCTTTGATCATTTGAATATAGGATTGAAATGCATTCTAGTCTTCTCATCCTCAACAATTATTTTTGGGATTTTTTTCTATGTACTATCACTGGTATGTGCCAACATTAGTAATTTGATTAGCATTGATCTGACTAAAAAATAAAAAACAAATGGCAACAAGATTTATTTTCATCTTGTTGCCATTTGCTTCTGGATGAGGAGGGGAGGAACTTTGTTATAGCGATGCAACGTAGCAATTGTGATGAGCAGAGAAGCTATGCTGAAATCAGCGGTGTGGTTGTTTCTTTTTATGGTGTTGAAAGAATAGTGAAATATATATATGTAATGTATGTAATATCTGCAAATATATGAGTTATTGGCCATAACAGCTGTATTAAGATTGGATTTTGATATTAGCTAAATTGTTCATATCAGAGGATCCCTAGTTTTTTTTTTTTTTTTTTTTGCCATCTTCCATCCTTCCTTTCTCCGTCTTCTTCTTCTTTAATTACCGCTCCATCTCTTTTATATGAACACTCTTGTATTCTGGGTCACTCAGGCTTGCTGAGTTGATAATAAGCTTCCTTCCGAGTCACAAAGATGTAATCTTCAAATCGATTTTTAGTGAAACTGGTCCTCTAAGAGAAAATGTGTTTGAACCTGCTTCCTAGCAGAAGGCCTTGGTCTGAGTAGTGCTGTTGTCTTTTATTACCATAAAGGACATTTCTTGGTGTATTTGAATGTGGATGCATTTATCAAGGTACGCTTGGGCTTTTAAAATCTGTGCAATCACTCCACTTATTTTTCCTTATTGACAATCAGTTACGTTTTGTCCTTCTGTCCCATCAGTGTTACAGCTCAGTAGACATATGTCTTTCTTTGTCTCCAATCAATTTAGAATGTTGTAAAGACAATTATTTAAAAGCTTTGGGTTTAAAACTCATTATAAAGTGTAGTTATGCTGCACTTCATGTTTGCATTGGTATTTTGTTGCACAATGATCAGCTTATGTGATGTTCCACTGCATTTAGGCTGACTAAAACTGTATATTTTGTATGTTTTTTGAAAACATTCGTTTGTTTTGAACAAATTTGCTTGTTGCATACTAAGTGTACTTAAAGTACTTTTGGGCAGGTATCCCTGATTGGAAAACAATGAGATTCTGCGGAAAGCCAGCCTTGAATCCATTCACGTCTTGAGGACAGCATTGAGATATGCATTGGCTTTACCCTCTTGTATATATGTTTAAATAAACATCCACAGCAACATGAATGGTAACGGGGATGTACATAAGTCAGCTAGGTTTGTGTCTCATGAACATCAATTGTAATATTTTGGTTTTAAACCTGAAAAGACTCTTTCTAAAAAGGCACTGGTGATGAAGTGGCATTTGTACATGTAACGGACATTAAAATGAGCGCATGTTGTTTTTAAACAGGGTTTTATAATCTTTCTGTGAGCCCTAATTGTTGTCATTTTTATAGTGCATTGCCATGCATGAAGAAATTGCTTAAGCACATTTTAATAAATGCAGTATGTGAAATATTGATTTAAATGTTGTGGCTTTCGCAGCTATTCCAGGCGCATAGATCATCCTCTTTTGTGGTATCATTTGGGGAACAATTTTTTTGATACTATGTGAATCTACTCTGTTCTTCTTTCTGTCTCCAGACGTTTGAATGATGAATTTTAAACATTTGTTTCCCAAGATGGTTACAACCCTACATTTCTACCTCACTGATATAAATCAAATGTATTAACAACTGAACTCTTGTTTCTGCATTCCAGTAGGAGGCTAGCTTCTCTGAAGCAATGTGTCTTATTTCAACTAAAATAAACATCTATTCATTTAATGTAACAGATCTGATGTTGTTCATGATCCAGATTAGAATCAGCTGAAATGTCAGAAAAGCTCGACTGAAACAAGGAGGGAAAAAAAATTACTTACAAATTTTGTTGGGGAAAAAAATAACATGACTCTTGCCACCTTTATGCACACCCTCACATCTGCATGAGTTGCAGATTGCTGGTGTGTATTTCCAGCTGTCATTTGCGAAAGACAGGGAACACCCTGGACAGGACATCACTGGTCAGCACAGAAGCACACAGGACAAACAACTGCAGATACACACACACTCATAAGGGCAATTTAGAGACCATTCAGCCTAACAAATATTTTTGGGCTGTGAGAGGAAGCTGGAGTCCCACTGGGAGAACCCTTGCATGCAGAAAAAACCCAGGTTGGGATTCAAAGGCATACAACAAAACAGTCTGTGTAAACCTTTTGCATATTGCTAAGTTGGTATAAAGTTTGATATTCTAATGTGGTGCAAAATTAAAGTAATATTTTACATTTTAAGGACTAAGCATTTAATCGGGTCTAGTTGAAAACGTAAAATATTTAAGTGGTCAACATGAACTAGATTTTTTTACTTTGAGAAAATATTATTTCAAGAAGTTTGAGATTTGTGGGTTTTTTTTACTTTTTATTTTCAAGATGCTTTTTTGTCACAGGGACAAAAATCATCCAAATTTCCTATTTTAGATGGACAAAAGAATTAAAGCTGCAATAATAGAAACAGCTAATCTAGACTGACTGGGTGGTGTTTTGATTTTTTTTATTTTTTTTACACATTCTTTCAAAGGGAGATTGTAACTGCGGAAGTCATATGTAGTAAAAAGTCGTTTTTTTTAAAGTAAGTATAAACAATCTTACATCGGGTTTTATTTAGAGGTGTAAGAGTAAAGGGTTTTTTTTTGTCAGGATTTTGTGTAAAGAACAAAAAAAAAAAAACTTCTATTTTGCAGCCATAGAAAGTTGGATATGTTGAAGTTTGCAGCAAGATGTGTTAATTGAAAGTTCCATAAGTATGAATAATTTGGCAAAAGTGTCCATAAGCCAGGAGTCTGCAACTTAAGCCATATGCCACTGTCCTGCAACCTTTGGATGCTTACCTCCAATACACCTGTGCAAAACCTGCTGATATGCTAAGGAGGCAGTTTAGCATTTTGATTCGAGTATGTTGGAACAGTGATGAAAACATAAGTTGAAGAACGGTGGCAAAATGTCTGACAATCAGGAGAAAAGGAGAAAACAAGCACTGGCGTAACTGCGAATTGATCAAAACTACAAGTACCGTCAGCTCGTGGCGTTTACCCCGACGTAGCTAAACGTCATCAAATTGCGTCACGCACCGCGTACGTGTGCTTGTGTGACTTCCCAGTAAGATTGATTTGGAAAGAGGATAAACATGCCCATGAAAGGGAGGTATCCGATCAGAAGGACGCTGGAGTATCTCCAGAAGGGCGACATCATATTTAAGAAGAGGGTGAAGATCATGACGGTGAATTACAACACACATGGAGAGCTGAGCGAAGGAGCAAGGTCAGAGCTACCGGCTTAGCATCACACAAGCACCGGGTTCACGCCGCAGCGGTCACATATGGCTTAATCCCTTACAAATATCACAGTTTACATCAGTGCCTGCATAGTTTCAAGATGTCTGTTCCTTGTTTCATGTCTTCCAGGAAGTTTGTGTTCTTCAACATCCCGCAGATTCAGTACAAGAACCCGTGGGTCCAAATAATGATGTTCAAGAACATGACACCATCGCCCTTCCTGAAGTTTTACCTGGGTGTGTGTGTGTGTGTGTGTGTGTGTGTGTGTGTGAGAGAGAGAGAGAGAGATTTCTCACATGATCTTTGGTGAAGGATCGCTTTCGATGCTGTCTTAACTTTGAGATCGACTCCGTCTCTGTTTAGATGATGGTGAACAAGTCCTGGTGGACGTGGAGGGAAAAGACTTCAAACAAATTTCACAGCATGTTAAGAAGATTCTGGGTAAATCAGAGTAAGTATTGATGGTGTTTCATGGCACTTAGATGTGTTCATGCAGTTGCTATGAGTTTGTATTTATTTACAGATGTGAACAAGCGCTGAAGATGAGATGAAAGGCTTCATATAAATATGTATTTGATTACGGTAGCCTAATATTAAAGGGAAGATTTGGAGAAGTGGGTGATAACCTTATGTTTCTTTACTTTTTAAAATGGGAAAGACAAGAGCACATGTCACTCAATTTATCAGCCTTGATAAAAGCTAATATCCACCTCTGAGATGTCAAAAAAAGCCAACTCATATTGAGGCAGCCTGTTAATGCAGCTGTTCTGCTCTCTTCTCTCTAGTGAAGTGTTGCAAGCTGAAGCTCAAGCCAAGTTGCAGGAGTCTCACCCTTCCAACTTCGGCCCAAAGAAGTACTGTCTGAGGGAGTGCATCTGTGAGGTGGAGGGCCAAGTGCCGTGTCCCAGCACCACTCCGCTGCCAAAAGAGATGACGGGCAAATACAGAGCCAAGATGGCAGAGTCACAGGACTGAGAGGCCGAGCAGCTCGCTTTTCCATCTCCTCTTGACATTCATCTGGCTGTGATGGCTGTATTAATGGACATATGCTCCAGCCAGAAGCTGCAGGATTGCACTGACACGTGATGAGCTGCTCCACCATTCTCACACAGACTTTTAACATTCATCAATGCAGATGTTAGCGTCCAACTCTCAATGTCTCATCGATGTGAAATTCTGTGCAGGTTAACGTGTGTGCTTGAGTTACTGCTGGGATAAAGTTTTACACTCAAAAATTCTCAGTCTCGTGCATGTGAGTGATGGCGTAAAACATGCATAATCCATATTGACTCATCCTGCCAAAATGATGCCATTCCTGGAAACAAAGAAACCTCCATCTGCTCTTCTGTTGTACTAATTGATGTCAGTTAGTTTTCCACTGCTCTAAAAGAATTCCTACAATCTAATCTAATCATAATGTGGCTGACACAAGTACGTATTTGTAATTTAGGTTATCATAAGAGAATTTATTTCAGTAATTCAAAGAAGTTATCACCAACATAAGTTTGCCGCACACTGATATAATTTGTGTCAAGTTAGAGTAATGGCCTTCTGCTGGTCAGCATTGTTGGTTCTAGTGTTTCCTGCAGAGACTCCATACAGCTTGTCAGCAGAGGGAAGCATGAAGCGTTGCAACATTTCCTGGTACTTTCTAGTTTTTGGACTAGAAAAAGCATAACGGACCAACGTGATTGTGAAATCATCGCCGAGTTTGGAAATTTCACACTGAATCTCAGGCAACTTGAGTCTCTGTGCCTCTCCATGTGTTCTCTAGATTTTTAATTTAAGTTTAAAGAGAAGTTTGTACCACTCCATCTCACTTTTCTCAAATTCTCTGGTACAGGTATGACTCCATAAAGACAGATGTGCCTCCGACTGACTCCAGCTGAAGTTCTCACCTTTCTAATCTCCCCAACTCTTGACTTTCATTTACATCACAATTCTCTCTAGACTTTAATTATTCCTGTGAAAGTTAATTCTACTTCCGGCAACATAGAGGATGTCTATTTACATCCTCTACTGCAATCCCGATGGTTGGGTTAGCTTTAATATTTCTCTATTTTTATTGTTTGTAAACGATTTCTGTTTTAAGAGAATTAATCTTGTGTTACTGCAGGTCAAAATTGGCAGGAATGTTTAAAACACAGGTTGGGTTGTGCGGGGTCTATACCAGGTTCATGTTGAAACCTAATTTTTCTGAAATAAAACTCCCACAAATGTAATTCCAGTTAATTGCATATGTATTTTTTTTTTACCTGCCAGGTGATTAGAAACAAAGTTAGGAACAAAAAAAAAACCATCACAAAATATTGTTACAGATGAATTTATTTATGTTGAAGAAACTTCCTCTTATTAAAGTGATGGCTGTGAATCATTGTGCAGTTCCTTGTTTTAATGCAGGGATGTTGCAATGACCTCAAAACTAAAATCAACCGCTAAACACACATGTAAGAAATTCACAACGTCACAAAAATATCTGCCACAGTTTTGTGATGATCTGCAGATGTTACAGTTTAGCAGATAAACTCGAAGAAAATGGAAGAAATGACGGAAAGCACAACAAATTCAAGTTGGAGCAAACATAGCAGCTCTGGATCATAATACTGCTGGCATTCATGTAGTGTTAGCAAACATCTAACAAGTGTCTTTTAAGGTTTCTATAATCATTTCTAGACGCACAGATTTGAGCGTCCTACGATTTAGTAACGGCTGTCTACAGTGTTCTTTGATAAACAGTGTTGTGTTAAGTTCACACAGGACGGGTGAGCCGTTCAGACAAACTCTGGATTGAAGATCGAAAGCGATAACATGCACCAGGAGAGGGGGAAGACGAGTCCAGCCACGAGGTCAACATCAAAGAGCCACACGAGGCTCACCGGAAACGAAACAAAACAACACCTCACCCCGTCGCTCACAGTAGCACATTCATTTATTTATTATTATTTTTGTCTTTGTTGGCTTTTGGTGGAATCACGAATGACTTTTTGTTTCTCAAAGCAAAGTGCATAAAAAGCAGTTTATCTAATTCATTTGATCAACACTTTCAGACAAAGTTGGAGTTTAGATTAACAGAAAAAAATCATTAGTGCAGATTTTAATGTCCAAGTATTTTTGTCACTGTCAGTGTAGGAAAAAAAACAGTTCTAAGCTTAAATTTCTTAGCATGTAGAGTAAAAATGACTTTATGATGTAATGCTCCTTTAACTCTTAATACAAACCTATTGTTTTACGTCAACAATTAGTTAGTTTTCTGCAATAGAAGTTATTCTAATTTTAAGATGTTTACAGTTGCAGACCTAAAAGTTAACCCTTCACTCCCAGTGTTGTTCTTGGCCCTGTTGGAAATGCACAGAACAGAGTTAAATGTTTTGGACTTTGTTCACAGCTTCAGCTGAAGAACTAAACCACATCATCCAACTCATTCAAATAACATTATGCTGTCTTCCTTTGTTCGTTTTTGCATTGTTTGAACTTCATAAGTGTGCCTATACAAATACATTTTTACTCTGTGCTTTAAACTCATGCATGGGTTTGAGCTCAGCCCTATGCAATCTTAAATGATCTAAATAGATGTTAGAAAATCAGGGACTGTAAATCTAGGTACACATTCAATTAATGTGTGATGGATCAGACTTCTTCCAAACTGCGGTAAACTGGGTTGACCATTCCTAAACTGTGCGAGCCCCGGACAACTTGGTAAATAGCAGGTGATTGGAGCCAGGGTGTGTTAGTGCCTCTTCTTCTTCTGTTCCTGTAGAGTGTACTGTAGCTCTTTGAGATTCTCCGACAAGAGCTCAACCTCGTCGAGCCGCCCGCTGAGTTTGGCATCAAAGATGTATGCCCTGATGTTGTCGATCTGCTGGAGCAGCAGCTCTTCCTCTATCATGTCCACATCTGGCAGCGCTTCGTCGTCGACGTCCCCGTCAAAGGGGTTGGTAGAGGCCTCGGGTGAGTTCCCAGCACCGTCAATAAATGGGTTACCTGCGTCGTCCTCCTCGAACGGGTTGCTTGGTGCAGTTTCAGCCTGTTGGTCCTCTCTGTCTGCGTCTTCATCAAAGGGGTTGCATTCCTTCTTCCCGTTGGAAACTTCCTTCTTGATGTCCTCGAAGAAGGGATTGGATGGATCCTCCTCAATGGGAGTGGAGTCCTCCTCTTCGAAAGGGTTAAGGGAGGTGCTGCTCTGTCCTTCACCACTAGGCGGGGTTATGTGCCCCCCTAAGCTCCTTAGTCTTGGAGGAGAATCCTCTAGAGGTGTGAGCGAGGAGAGGGCTCTGACAGCCGATGGACTGGCCTCGGTTTTCAGAGTCGGGATTTCTGCAGTAGTTTCTACCCCCGAGTCCACCTGGTGGTCTCCTGCTGGGTTGATATCCAGGGACGGCTCCCAGATGAAGGGCGGCTGCGTGGAGACAAAAGTGGAGCCCCACTGCTCCCTTCCCTCCCTTTCCTGAGCCTCCAGGCGCTGCAGCTCCCCTTGCTGCAAGCTCTCCTCCTGCGCCAATTTTTGGGAGAGAGCGATGGCCATGCTGGTCTGCTGCTGGTCGTATTCGTCCTGCAGCTGCCGCAGGTTCTCCTCCAGCATGGCGACCTCGTCTGTCCGTTGCGCTTCACGCGCCTGACGGAGGAATGACTGGATGTTTTCAATCTGCTGCAAGAGGGGATCTTCCAGCTCGCTGCGAGCGTGGGCAGAGTCAGCAGAGGGCAGCCACCCGCCAGCCTTGGTCATGCGGGGGGCCTGTGGCAGCTCTCCATTGGCCGGTGGGCGGTTTTTCTCATACTCCTGCCTCCTTTTCAGATTCTCCTGGGCCCCCTATTGTCGATATTTAATATTTAGCGACTTGTTATCCCTGAGAAAGAAAATATAGGTGTAGGTGGAGAGTCTTACCTGTCTCTCTTGTTGGAGTCGTCTCTCTTGGTCCTGTTTCCTCTTCTCTTTCAGCTCTTCATATTTGTCCTTCGTGGGCAAAGACATCAGCCCCAAAAGCTTCTCCTGGGAAACCAACAACCAAAAAATAAATGGAAATGAATGTTTTCAATTCATAAAGAGTCTTCACTATGGCGATAGTCTGGCAGACTGTTCAATTAGGGACCAAAACAAACAAACAAACAAACCAAAACCTTTGAAAAATCTGTTCCCCCTCTTGCCTTTGGTGGCGCTGCACCAAGAAACCCTAAAGAAACCTCTAAAAAAAAGTGAAACAAGAACTTCCTTCTTCACAAAATGTAAACAAAAATGTATCTTTTAGGATTTCTCTTTTGTCATCAGTAAGGCCATAAGCCAATTCTCCCGCTAAAGCAAAACATACAAGTTAATTTAGGTTACATTTACCCAGAATGCCCTGCACTGTGCTTTACTTCCTGCTTTTGGAGGTTCCATTTGGCATTCGCATATGCATCTGAACTGCACCAGAGTTCAGTTTAACTGAAGAGAGACCTATGTGTGTAGGCACATCAGAGTTCAACTGTGCATTCACATGTTCTAGGTAAGCATGTGTGAATGCACATGTTTACTAAACACAGCTGGTGTGAATCCACCCCATATCACCTGGACAAACAGCGTGGCTGTGTAGCGTATCATCCTCTGTAGCTGGAGCGCCTTCGGGTGTGGCTGCGGCTCACTTTTCACCCCCAGAGTTAAAATCTTCTTACTGAGAAGAAAATAATTCATTTTAATCTCTCAGTTCCTTCAGCTGTAAAACCTTCTGTCAGGACCAGCACGGACCTTAGAGCATCAATGAGTTCGTAGTATTTCTGCACTTCCAGCCTCAGTCCTCCAGCAGTGTCCAGGTTGTATGTGGTTTCTCCGGCGCTTTGAAATGAGGAAGTAGATCATCATCATTTCAGAATGAAATTAAGCCACAAATGTATGGAAGAAAAAGTAAATGTCACAGAATGTTTATCCTGTGCCATAATTTGTGATTTTTTTTTTGTACTTTAAACTTACCAGAAAAAAACAATTGGCTTGCATATATTCACCATCAAAAACTTGTCTTCAAATGCTGTGATGTTTTAGTGACTTTAAGCCAAAACAATCAGTCCAGCTGCTTTTAGCCAATTAAATTATGCTACTTTGATTATGCGACAAAGACATAGCTGGTTGCTGTAGCTATTAAGAGTAGCACCTCTGACTGAGGCAAATTTGATAATTAATTTTTCACAAGAAATTTTGGCAAAATTTTTGCCGGCAAATTTAAAGTAAAAGGAAAAAATACACAAATAATTGCATAGGGTGATAATTCAGTTAGACTACATTTCTTTCATACACATTTTTTTTTATTAATGCTTACTTGAGTGATTCAGCCATTCGAATATACTCTGGAGCCTTTTCCTCCACTTTCTCCATGCACATTCTCAGCCTCTGACAGGAAAACAAGGTTTGTGAGCAGGAAGCCTCGAAGGAAAACGATGAATGACAGGAAGGAACTCAGAGAGAATCAGTTGTTCCACCTACCTCATAAAGTTTCACTATGTCTGGAACGTGATCCTTCTCCTCTAACTTCTGCTGCCTCTTCAGCAGAGTGTCCATGCAGTGGTGACAGCAGCGGATCTTCTCATCATCCTTTTCTTCCAAAATGGACGCTACGCTGCTCAAGCTGGTAATGCTGCCCCTCCGGGAGCCCATCCCACTGCTTCCGCCCCCTACTGGTGGAGACTGGGACTGACTGGGGCTTCCAGGCACACACAGAGCTTCTCGAGTGCCATTGATGAGCTTCTCTGTTTAAATGTGTAAAGAAAATTAGCAAAAACAAAGAACAAAAGACATGACTTCAGATTTTCAACGTGTCACTACATACGGGCCAACGGCAGGGGAACGAATTCCATGCACCTCCTGCACATGATGGATCCACAGAGCCGACAATGGTGGCGTCTGTTTCGGATGTTGAACTTGTTTCCACAATCAGGACAGAAGGGGACATCGGAGTCACTCACCCAGGACACCACGGATTTCTCAATGGCTGCACAAGAGGAGGAAAATCCTTAGTTTGCTAAACTGACAGAAAGCCCAAAGCAATTTGGAGTATTAAAGAAACAAACCTCTAATTTTAGCAGCATCTGCGTTGGCTCGGTCAAACGCAGTCAACTGAAACATAATTTTGTGGAGTTAATAGTTGGATTATTAAATTGAAAAGAGCAGAAAGAAAAATATGCAAATTGTAATAATTATTAGGCAAACCTTTTCCAGTCTTATGATGAGCTTATTGACCTCAATAACATAATGATCGATGCGCGCTGCCCGGTGTTTCTTAAACAGGTCCAGGTGACTTCTAGTTGCTCCTGTAGAGGAAAATAAAAGCAGAAAAACTTGATAAATGTAACAAATTGAAACAATTGTGTATTGTTCCTTTATTTTTCGCTTTATTTGCACTTTTATACATTAAATGTTCCAGAAGTAGAGTATTACCCAGTTCCTGAGGTTCCCACATGTATGGGTCGACCCCACCATAGTAGAAGGACTCATAACTACCGGTGTCTGGTCGGTCATCTCCATCCCTCTTCAACAGTTTGTCTTTGGCTTTCTTTGCCTTATGAACCAAATCTAAATATAACAATAAAAAAGGAGAAAAAAAATCAATCTGAATGGGACAGAAATAATCATATTTCAGCATTTTTACCTCCTCGTCATATAGAAAACAGTAAAGAAAGAACAAAAATAAAGACAAAACGACTGAAATTATTCTGGACTCAAAAGCGTTGCTGTCAGAGAATAATAGAGCAAGATCAGTATAAATGAAATTCAAACTGACCTGGAACTATAATGAAATGACAGCACAGGCTGATTATTATAGAAATCTTACTGTGAATAAAAACATGTAAATCTTTCTTTCTAATTGGATTAGATTATCATTTCTAAAGTACTTAAGCTGTTATAAAAATAAATCTTTTCTACAGCTGCATTCTTCTAATGATGTTACACCAGCCATTCCAGAATGATTCCTTTCGATGAAAAAGCATATAGAGCAACTACTTTGCTTCAATAAATTACAGTTTTGTTCTTATAGCCTGTCTGAAGGTAAACTGGTTCTGATAATTCACAGTTATATGGAATATAAATTGACCCAAATTCCACTAGGAGGATTTTCTGCTACTGTACATACTCTTGAGCTGTCCTCGAACGTGCCGGTCGTCTCCTGAATGCTCCTCCTCATAGTGGCCCTGGAGTTGGTAGAAAGACTGGAGGTCCTTCAGGCACAGAGGGCAGAGAAAGCCCTCCTTTACTTCACCTGTGCCCTCAAACGGCGGTGCATAGCTGGAGGCCATGACGACAGTCGGAGCTTGTGATGTTTAGGAGGAGGTCCGGTGTGCCATGATCCTGCTTGGGCCAACATGTCACAGGGTGGGTACTCTGCCTTCAGTTAGCTCCATAACACCTGAAGCAGGAGAACGACATTAGCGGAGAAAATACAGACGCTGCAGAGAAACAAAGCAAACTGAGGCGCCAAACAGAAACACCTAGGTGTTGACTTCCCGAAAAGTCCAGTCTGAGATTTTGAGGAAATAGGCGACGCTTTGTGAGGGCAAATGTTTTTAGGCACCCCAAATGAGACTCAATGATTCCTCAAACATGCATGAAAGAATCAAAGCAACACTCCAGGAATGTTTTTGGTGAGGGAATAATAACATAGCATGTAAAAAGTACATTTTACATAACACCCCCCTTTAAAAGACCAGAATTTTATCATTCTTTTCTGTCTGATGATATAATGATTTAAATATGAAATCAGATGTTCTGATCCGATAGTACTTAAGTAACCTTTTTACAGAACACTTTTCTTTACTCTTATTTGAGTGATTTCTTGAATACCGTTTTACTTTTACTTGAGTAAAAATATAATGAAGTAGTGCTCCTCTTACATTTCTGTAAGTATTGGTTCTTCTCTGCTGTTTCAATGTGCATTTTAGGTCAAAGCAAGCATGTTAATCCTTAAGGAACTTTACTCACATTGTGTAATGAAGGCAGAAGTTTGACTCAATTAAGAGTAGCTACACTTCATTATGCTATTACTCTAGTAAAAGTTAAACAATACAGTGCCGCAAGCTTCTTTTCCCACAATGTAGCTAATTGCCCACCTCTGCTAAACAAAAGTACAACAAAGTGTCCAGATTTAAAACTGTCTCAAATGTAGCATAATTTAAGTCTCCTGATAATTATAACAGCTTTATGAATGAGGCTTAAGAATTTAAATGATACCAATTTAAAAAGGCATGCATGCATTTAACACAGAAGATTTTATTGTATTTTCATCTATCAGTTAGCTAAATGTAGCTCCATCTCCCCATTACTCCTCACGGTAACAGTATCTCTTAGCTTATGCTAATCCAACATACAATACCTGGGTATCCAAGTCACTTTTAAAGCAACCCATTTGTCCCTTTTCAAACTGGTGTTGCGTCTAACTTCAATGTTCCATCATTACAGAAAGACAGCAGTAAAATGTTAGCACAATAGGGCTAATATTCCTTTGCTTTGCTTTGGTTTCTCCCACAGCGCAGCGAGAGGCACGAAAGCGAACAACTTCAACTCGCACATAAACACGTACTGACCCGCTAGTCACCGGGGGAGATCATTTATTATCACAAATGTGTCCGAGAACGACAGGTTGTTGACAGGTTGGATTTTTCTTCACAGCTCGACTCCAACAGCCTCGGCTGCCCCACCTGGTCATGTGATTAGCCTTCCGTTGCTAAGGGAGGAGAAGAAGGACAAACGATGCGGAACGCGTAAATCGATTTCAGGAGTTGAGTTTTTAGACTGAAAGAAAGATGAAAGTGTGTTTTAGTGCTACTTTCGGGTGGGGGCAGCAAAGAGGGATTAATTTGAATGAAACTGATGTCTTACTTCTTTCTACTTGTGGAAGAATGAGAATCAGCTTTATTTGCCAAGTTTGTGCACACAAACAAGGAATTTGACTTGGCTCTGAATTAGAATAGTTAAAATATAAACACATACTTATATATATTTAATCTCCTATTGCTTAAATTTGTTTTGTGTATTTATTATTTTGTTTGTTAAAGCATTTGTAAATTTTATTTTGAAAGGTGCTAAAGTTTTAGTAACTAACTGAGAAGTCTATTAATGCATTATGTTCAGGATGAGAGGCGTCTGCAGAGATTTAATCCTCCATTTCCCAGACCCTAGACCTCCTGGATGGAGGTCAGGCCTGATGACCCTCTCTGTAGATCGTTCTACACAGTTTGGAGCTGTCTTGTTGGTGGATGTTCTTCTACTGTCCCTCAATCCAAAACAGTAAGCGTTTGTAATGGGCTGCTCGCTCACAAGCAAAGAAGACCTTTGCAGAATCTCTGTCACTTCTGCCATTGCTAACATCAAAACCAAATACACCATCCAGTTTGCGAACTGGTGTCCTACTGGTTTCAAGGTGGACATCAAATAACAACCTCTCATTGTGGTTCCTGGTGGAGATGAGCCCAAGATCCAGAGGACGCTTTCAAGGGAAGTCAATTTTGGGGGGAATGCTTCTGATCTGCTTTAATTCTATGCAGTACTTATAGTGTTGACGTGGTGATTTGATGTATTTCATTCAACAATAACATCTGAAAACTGAATATTTGAGTTGGTTTGCTTCATTTTCATCAGGTTGAACTGAGCAAATAAAATATAACAATCTACTTCAGACAAAAAAAAATGTTTTTAATTTGTTTAATGTTTTCCATACACAGTAAGCATTGAAAAGGAAACAGTGGGAGTGTACCTTATCATGGGCAAGTTGTCACTAACTAATGAAATTATTATATTTATTAGGTTAAGGTAACCTTCAGATATGTTGAAGATTAATGACCCTAATATCAAAACAGATTCAGTTATGAAAGCATTAAATATTTTTTCGTTATTTTAGACGGAAAATTCAGCGTAAACATTTTCCAAGGCTGTGAAGGTTGATCAGAGTTTCGACACACAATGAGACACAAACAAATACAGACAACTCTTTCCACTGATTGTATTATCAGTGTGGATTCTGAAGACTGGGGATCCAGGAGGCCTGCGTGCTGCAGTCTGTTCTGCTTTAGTTGTATGAGGTGGCATGGGTCTCCACCATTTTGATGAGAATCGGCCCTGACCTCTGCCGCTGGTGAGTAGCTGCCAGGAAAGAGGATGAAATAGGTGAAACACACATAACTTGCTGTTGCTTTGAGGGACTTTGGGTTTATTTATTAGGTCAAAAATGGTCAAAAAATAGCAACATTATAATACCCTCACATTCACTTTTCGTGGGTTCTGAGCTCACAGGTCTGATGGGTGCTGAGTGGATATTAACAAGAGTCTGCTGTCCAAATCTGGTGATGAAAAAGCAGATAGGCATGAAATTGATGGGCATTAAAGATTAAATGCATTTTTACTCATCTTGTTCTAAATCTCCTAATGTGCCAATATTCCTGAATTCACCATACAGCAAACAGAACTGCAATCTTTAACTGGTTCAGAGGGAAATGACTTGATCTAGCAAGTATTATTGTGCTATCACGACACAGTTTTCTTACATTTGTTCATACATAAACATGTTTTGTATTATTTTTAATTATGATAGGGATTGTTAAAAATAATGACAATACATCACTGATGACGTTTTCCAAATTTCCCCACGAAATAACATGATTTGATATGCCAACTTGCGATGATCTTTGCCACAAGAGGGCAGTATTACATTACACGTTAATCTAAGGCAAATCTAGAAGTATGTTTCTGACATTCATGTTTTCATGGGAATAATAAGTCAATCAACAAAATATATATATATTTTTCTGGCTTAGCTATGATCTTGTGCAAAGAAAACCCTCCATAAAAGTAGTTCCAAAATTAAATGAAAGAGAAATAATTGATGTGAATCATAAATGGATAGATTTTTAGCAGCTCTCACCTGTCCTCCTCGCCTTCCAACAATTTCTTATAAGTGGAAATCTCGATATCCAGGGCCAGCTTGATGTTCATAAGTTCCTGGTATTCCCTGACCTGTTTTGCCATGGCATGTTTTGCATCCATCAAAGATTTCTCCAAGTCCTTGATGCGGTCTTTGGCGTTCAGCACAGCTTGTTCCCCCCTTGATTCCATCTCAGTAATGCTGTTTCGAATGCTGTCACACTGTACAACATAGAAAAGCGGTGTAAACAGGTGTCTTTTCAGTCTCTTTGAATTAGTTACATCCTTAAATTTAAGACAGAGAGCAGTCCTCTCTTCCTCACCTGGTGTTTTATAAGATTAATTTCTTGCTGCAGGCGATTGATCATTCGGTTCATTTCTGCGATTTCCACTTTGGTGGAATGCAGGTCAGCACCATACTGGTTTGTTTGGGTTAACATCAGGTCAAACTGGTATCCATGGGGTGTAGATTGAAGAGAAGAAAACAGTAATTATCATATCAGTGGAAAAAGATGCATCTAATAAACTTTAGAAATCATGCCACACTGATAAAAAAATGTACTGGAGTTAAAGATAGTTATTATCCGACATACACAGTCCCATTTTTAATGGTACAAATTCTAAAATTATCTTGATTTATTTTATTTTATTTCAAATATTTACCAGTAAATCCGAGAAGAAAAAAAAGTGTCTTAGTCACCTTTGTCTTGTACCAGCGTTCTGTTTCTTCGCGGCTCTGAGCAGCAATTTCCTCATAGTGAGCTTTAACATCAGACACAATGTGATCCATGTCAAGGCTGCGGGAGTTGTCCATCTCCACAACCACGCAGGTGTCCTTCACGCTATCCTGTAGCTCTCTCATCTCCTTTTATTTAAAAAAGACAAACAAACAAATGAAACAGAATCCCACTAAAAATCACATCCCTATAAATTTCACTTGATAAGAAGTGAGGTTACATACAGCATCATAAACGGCTCTGAGGAAGTTGAATTTGTCAGTAAGATCATACAATCTGGTTTCTAGTTCCACCTTAGAGTTGAAACTTGCATCCACATCCTGGTGACCCAAGAAACATAAACTTTTTAGTCAGCAATATGTTTTAAATGTTTTGCAATTTCCAAAAATGTTATCATTTTTACAAATGTAAAAATTAAAAATTTCATTTTTTACCTTTTTGAGTTCTACAAAGTGAATCTCTGTCTCAATCTTCTGGCTGGTCTCTTTTTCATACCTGAAACAACCACAAATATCTTGTGACTTGTGCTGATCTTATCTCTCTTCAAATGAAATCTGTTTCACAGACAAAAATGTCCCACTTTGATTTGTATTTGTCCAGTTGACCACTCCAGGAATTTTTCTCCGCCTCGAGACGCTTGCCATCATTGTTGATGGCTTCCAGCTGTTTTTGCAGGTTGGCGATGTAGGCTTTATACATGAACTCAGTACTGGAGGAAGAGGCAACCTGACTCTGCATGAGCTGCCACTTGGTTTCCAGCATCTTGTTCTGTTGCTCCAACAATTGGACCTGGAACAGAAGTACAAAGCAGATCCATCCAGTTAGGAAGATTGTTCTTGAACTCAAAAATATCCGCCATGAGGCTGGGAATATTAATTTTTCACACATCCTCCACCAGCAACAGTGTCTACCGGTGATCTTTGGAGATCTTGTTCTTTCTTCCATCCTCCTCACTGCATAATTCCAAGTCAGACATTCAAAGATTCGCTTTAAACTTTTAGATAACGATCTGCCTGTATGTTTGCTGACTATAAAGTAATGCACTTGAACGCATGCAGTGAAGTTTCTGAAAGGGCAATGTGACTCACCTGTCAGGGCCTCCTTCTCTCAAGAGGACGACACAAGCAGGTAGTGGGAAAAAAATATCTGTAAGTTCAGCTAGAATTTTTTTGTTGCGTCCATTCCACAGGGATTGGAGATTATTTTAAAACATGGTCAAGCTGATTGATGATGAAGTTTGCCATGATTTTAAGGGTAATTTTTCTGAGTACTTGGACCATGTATGCTGAACAGAATATAATTGTGAAAAAGGCTATGAAACCTTTAAGCATTTTAATGGTTTTGGCATCAAGGGAATTTTATATTAAGAGCTGCATAAAAAACTCCTTCAGAGACTAGTGACACTGGGGCTAAGTTATTCTTACAGATTAGTAAAAATGAAAAATCAAGGCTACTTATTTTTATAATTAATTGCAACCATCACTGATGGCATGTTCTCTCATCTTTCCCATTTTGAAGAGTAGCTAAGAGAAATGGCCTCATGGTCATAACCCCGAGGGAACAGTCATTGATTGCATATTTTCTTAGAGTGAAACAGATTTTTTAAAATCTGTAAACAAGTTTTGATAGGAGACATTTTTTTAGCAGAATTTCCCTCCTTACCTTTTTGATGTGTGATGCAAAGCGATTATTCAGACCTTTAATTTGCTCCTTTTCCTGGGTCCGCAGAACCTGGATTTCAGGATCTATGTCTGTCTTCAGAGGAGCAAGGAGGCTCTTGTTTACGGTGACAGGTTTAATGGGAACCACATTGCTTGTGGTGCTGGATCTGCGAACCGGGTCGGATCCCATGGACTTGCTGGAGAAGCCATCAGAGGAGAAATAAAGTCCAGATCGCCTGTTCTTCTTGATCCTCACACTCATGGTGGGGTTTGTGCAATGAGGTTTCTGCTGGAAGTTGTGCTGAGTTCAAATGGTGCTGGAGCTCTCTTGTGCACATTTATTTGTTTTCGCAACTTTATACAGCAATGACCTGGGTGTGGTGTGGCTGTGAAGTTGTATGAATGCAGATTTACCAGTCTGCCACTGGTTTTGCTCCCACCTACCCCAGCTGTAAAAATGCTTCCTTCTAATTGTTCCTCTGTAATCTAATCTTGCTCATCAGCTCTGGTTTTGAATCTTAGACGCATTCAATGAGTATTTTGGATGCAAGGACTGGGTGTGTTAAGAACTTTCAAAAGGGTGTGTTAAACTTTAGAAAGATAAGAAAATATGAAACCATCTGTCGGAAGAAAAAAGATTAAGAAGGCTGTATTATTATAAACATCAGGTGGTAAACAGCAAACTGCATAAACAGTGAAAGTATGAATAAATAATATTATTATGAATCATCTAACATATTTCTTTTGAACAAAAAGGGAATTTGATAGCAGGTCATGTTCCTGCTCTTGACATACCCATTTCAACAAATACAGTTATGGTTCAAAGATAAAAGACACAGAGCCACATTATCTTTCAGACACACCTTTCAGTTTTGACGGCTTAAATGGGGCAAAACAAAACCCGAACGCACGCCTCCCAAAACCTGCTAGGAATTCTGGTATCTTAACATCTTCAAGCTTTTTCTCTTCACTATAGATTTGTTTGGTGTTTTCTTTACAAAATACTTAGTTATAATATTGAATCTGAATATACATCAGATACATTTTTTGTCATTTATTTTGATACCCCTAAATAAAATCCACTAACTTAGAAGGTCCTGGAGGCAGATATAATTACAATTACTTACCATTTTTACTTGGTGTGAATCTTAATGTCAACATACGTACACCTGTGAAGAAAGGCCTCAGGGGTCAGTTGGACAATCTTTTTGAAAAACAACTTCATAGGGACAAAAATACATGGCAAATGGATAAAATTGAGGAGAAAACTAAAGAAGGGGTAAGTAGTTAAAGATGATCTCAAGTTGTTTTTCAAAAGACTTGCAGATACCCTACTAAAAGTGGTTCCACAAAGTATTGACAAAAAAGGAGGCACCACTTCAAAAATAATAGTGTATTAAAACTATATTGTATTTTCCTTCCACTTCATATGCACTACTTTATGTTGGTTTTGAACACAATTCCTCCCAAAATGTGATGACATTTGTGGGTTTGACCTGCTTTGTGAAAAAGTTCATTGTTGATCTTTGTTTTTGTTACAGTTTGTGTTTGTTTTTCTCAGCAGGTTTTGCTTCCTGCTCTCCTCCCCCCTGCTCTCAGATACTTATACCGTGTTATTATCTCCCTCACTATACATCCATATTTTTTGCTACATTGTGTCAGATCCCCTTTGTTTGTGTTCCTGCCATGGCAGTCGGGTAGCATTATTTGTTGTTTCTTAGTTATTTTACTTCCATTTGTTTATCTTTCAAAATGAAAGTATTTAGCTCCACTATGTGGCTGTTGAGCCCAGGATTTGAGTCTTTTCTGAACATGGATTATGGGTGAATAGAAAGAAGCCTTGGGAGGATTTTCCACACCACCACTGTCTAGAATTTGAAGGCCATGTGTTGTTTGAAATAATTTGACTGGTTCCAGTTTGATTGTGGATACGAGTGCACACACACAAACTTGTGTGTTACAAACATGTAAGGTGCAGGGAAAACCAAACAGAAGGCAAACTACCTTAAAAATATGGAGAGATTCATTGCAATTCAGAAACAAGGAGCAAATCATGAGTTGCTCCTTGTTTAACTAGATGCATTAATGAGGTTGTGGTTGTAACTGAGAGATACTGTGATTTCTTTTGTTACACTAGAATGTTTCAAATGGTTCCATTCAACCAACCAATCCACGTGGCTCTCATTATGATTCAATGAAACCCAAAAGCTTTAGAAATAACGTTGTAATCCTACTGAAGGATCTCAATGACTTCTGTGTTTTTTTTTAATTCAGGACATAATGTGGTGGGTTTTGAGATGTGGTCAGAGCTCTTCAAATAATATCTTACTATATTTGATATTTGATAATCTGAAATATTTAAGTGAAATGGAAAAGAAAAACAAAATAAATATGTAAAGGGACAAAGGCTGTTTGGCAGCACTGTATGTTGTCAAAAATAAAAAGTTGTAGGACAGCTTTACGTAGGAAGTTGTAACCAAGTAATATCAGTCAAATACAGATGAGTAAATTAACAAAAGGAAGCATGAGCATCTCTCTAAAAACTGAGGTTTTGTCAGTTTTCTATATGGCATATAGACTCAATACCAGAGAGGAAGTATGGTGGTGAATGGTTGATGATTTGCTCAAAGTACTCTAATGTCAAATTGTGAAGATGTGTGACCTGTTTGCTGTCTTGCCTAGACTTAGTTTGATAGCACTGAGAAACTTTTAAGGTGGAAGGTGAGGTTATTTTCTTTCTTTTTAACATTTATTCTTCGCACAGTAACTTTGAAGTTAACCAACCTATGATCACCATCAACTGAATAATCGAACCTGTCTGACCACTTGCTGTTAAAACGTACTGGCTCTCTACAAATGATCCCTCTTGTCCTCATGATGGCAACAAACCAATCATTTGTCTACCTTTGAAAAAAAAAAAAAAAACGGTAGAGACATAGGTTTCTCATAGGACTGGATACAAATTAATGCTAAAGACCAATACTGCCAGCTGCTGAGAAGAAGACATTTATATAGTGTGTGTACATTACCAGAGGTAATTCAAGCTAAGGATTCAAAAAGTATAATTTGAAATGTATGTTTTAGAAACCTGTTTTTCCTTCTCTTGTCAGGCATGAAGATCGCTTCATTCAATGCACAGAGGTTTGGAGTGACTAAAGTCTCAGACCCAGATGTCCTGTCAACTCTTGTTAAGGGAAAAAAATAAAATAAAATCAGACACGGCTGCTTTGAGAAGCTCCATGTGTTTTACCAGGCAGCAGGGACCCTGTGATCAAGTCATCACATTATCACAATTATATTTACAAAGGGCCTTTTAAAACTTGCCACTGATATATTTTTGGAGAGCAGCCAGGATTAGTTTTAAATCTGAAAATGAAAATCCTTCAAACCAATTAAGTGATAGCATTCAATTGTTTTATAGAGAGCTTCAAAGAAAGAAATAGAAACCATCAATGTCACACATTAGTCAGAAACTGGGTGGGTTTTATTCCACTGTAGATCCTGTATTGTAACAGAAGCCTTTGCGTTTTATAGTTTGTGTCTCAATATGACATCATAGTTATTCTGGAGGTGGTGGATGTGAGTGGGCCCTCCGTCAAGCTGTTTCTGGCAGAACTTAACAGGTGACTGTATATTTTTATTTTTGCACGTTAAGCCAAACTGAAAAAAAATGTCACTGCCTTTGTGAATAGAAAAATAACAGGCCATCCTTTGAGGGTGTTTCAGGGTGAACACGTCCCACCACTACGCCCTGCAGCTCAGCGCCCATCTGGGAAGGACCAGATACAAGGAGCAGTTTATGTTTCTCTACAGGTATCTCTGCCTCGACTGTGTCAGTGCTGCAACACAGAGCTGTTTAAGCAAAACATTTTTATTCAATTTTCAGGGATGACATGGTGGATCTGATTGACTCCTATCAATATGAAGACAATCAGGTGAACGATGTGGATGCATTTTCAAGGGAGCCTTACATTCTCTACTTCAAACCTCACAACACGGGTTAGCATCTACCGCTCATCTTTTAACACAAACAGGCAGAGTTGTGTGTCAGAGTTTCAAGATTTAATGCTCCTGGTGTGGTGTCTGCTGTTTGGTTGAGTCATGTCTGCATGACCGTGTCTGTTTCTCCTGTGTGAATAAAGGAGATTTATTTTGACGTGTCAGCAGAAGAAATAGCAGGTTTGTCAGGTCTGTGCTCTCTCCTGCCACACACATGCAGTTTCATGGATGTTACGTACTTGTTGCAGTGCTAAAGGACTTGGTGCTGATCCCAGTTCGTGCCACACCGCAGGACTCAGAGAAAGAACTGGATGAGCTGTATGATGTCTTCCTAGTGGTCAGAGACAAATGGAAAACTGATGTAAGCATATCAACTCATTTGACACAAACTCTGCCACGGCACGGCGCTATCAGTGCTAACTGATGTAAGATTTACCTCACATGAGGGAACCACAATGTTTTGGGAATTCTATCGTCTAATCATACAAGACAAAGTAGCACAACCCTCTGAAACTCAAGAAAATGTAACTTAAAAAAAGAAGAAGAAGAAATAAATTAGAAAAGTGTGAAGAATTTCAGCAATGTTTACTTTCATACATACAATCTAAAAATTGTAAGAATGACAGAGATCCAGCTTCTGTAGCGTATTTTTAATGAGTCTTCAATAAATAAGAAAGCACTATATGAATTTATGTTGATCCACTTGTTTTACTCTAAATTGAGCAGGAAGTAGTTTTGTTAAGTATCAACATTAAGCTGTGGGGAAATGTCCCGTGAACATGAATGGGGGAGATGGTTTGAGTTGATACAAAAGTGAATGGAACTAAACCTGGTAAAATCTGAAAATAATCTGGAGGCGAAGGCAGCAAAAGCTTTTAAAATGAGTCAGATGTTTGCCTTCCACCAGGACAAAAACCTTAAACCAAAATGCACCAAGGGATGGTGCTGATGTGTCAAATTCTCTGAAGTCATCAGAGCAGAGGTGGTTGATCACCATTGCAATCCACACTTTTCATCTTTGAGTTGCATGTCTCACTTTTCTTCCACTTCACAATGCACTACTTTGGATTGACCTATTACCAAAAACAACCAATAAGCACACTGAAATTTGCGTTTGTAATATGACAAAATGTAAATTTCATAGAGCTCTGCAATAAATGGTTTTATTTGCTTTTATTTCCCTATCTTTCTAGAATGTAATGATCCTGGGGGACTTCAGAGCAGATGGTGCCTCTGTCAGCGACAAACAAATGCGAAACATTCGAATACGCAGTGACAGAAATTTCCACTGGCTAATTGGTGATGATGTGGATACAACTTCAGCTACAACAAATAATCACACCTACGACAGGTAAGGTTTATTTTTATAGAGCTTATGACAGGCATTGTGCCTTTAGTCCACAAGCTTAAATCCACAAGTTTAAATAAGAAATCTTTTTTCTTATGCAGGATTGTTGTGTATGGAGATGACCTGCTGGCAACCATAGTGCCAAACTCTGCCAAGGCCTTTAATTTCCAGAAAGAGCTCAACCTGACAAATGAAATGGTGAGATATCATGCTAAGCTTAAGACTTTTCCTTTTAAATATTTCCCTGACTTAATGCAGACATGCTCCAATAGGCGCTCAGATTCAGCGACCATTATCCGGTTGAGGTCGAATTAATCAGTGCATCTCCTTTCTGGCTGGCAAGATGTGGGAACGCTACAGTATCAGTTAGCAGAGCTGCAACAGGTAATCATTCAATTGTAATTTATTCCATGTGCTAAGTGTGGAAAGAAAGTTAAATTAATATTTACTTAATAATTGCTGCCTCTAAACTTCTGCAGTTGTGCTTGAGGGTGAGGCTGCAGTTCAAATATGCATGGAATTTGGGAGTGTCTCTTACCTTGGAAAATATTTATATTTGTGATGTGTTCAGTTAAAAGTTGCTGTTGCATTAATTAATTTGAGGATTGACTCCACAGGTCCAAAGTGATTGCAAAAACCAGTTCCTTCTGGTTCTGAATCTGTGCACTAAAAATACAAAGGTTAAGTAAAATATATCCCCTAAAACAAAAATATTTATTAAGGAAAATATTTTTGCCTTACTTAACTTGACTACACAGAAAATGAGAGGGCAATAAAGACACATTATGTGCTATGAACTCAAAGCTACGGCTTGAGATTCTTGAATAGGACACCGTAAAATAAGCAGAGTATCGGAAGATAAAATTAGTTTAGATTAGGTCCATGTTTGAATGATTTTAGTCAAAGAAACATGATTTATCAAAGAATTGAAAGTCTCAGGGAATGATCTCCTTGCTCAAAGCTCAGGCCTTATCTTGTTTGAAGACCTTTCATAAAAGAAGCACATTATTTTGGGTGCAAAATGTCATAAAGAAATTAAAAGTTGAGCAGAACAGGACATTGCTCATAATAAGAACTGTCAACAAACTTTACATTTTTTTGCACTGCAGTAAAAATCTGCTTATTGTTTATTTTTGCTCTGTATGTTTTCTGTACTGAAGTGGGACCTTTCATACCAGGCTCTTATGTGTGCTGATTCATTCAGCTTGTTGTGAAAATGCTGTAGTTGTCAATCAAGTTGCTGCCGCAGGTTATTACGTAGAAATAATAATAAAAAAAACTTATTGTAAATGTGAGGTGTTTTTCTACATTCCTGGAAGACTGCCAGTCCTTCCACGCAACTAAATGAACTGCCTGACAAGCTTCTATTTCTTTGTAGTACAACAGCATGCCTTTGTGTTCAGTCAGATCTGAAAGAACTTCACTATTTTCATATTTTCTGATCATGACTAACCCAGAAGTTAAAATAAATTAAACTGATTGTACTTTTGGTAACTTTGACTTATTAGTATAAATAATAATAAAAGCCAATAAAAACAGTAAATACATTTGAACTTAAAAGAAAAAAATAAAAACACAATTTTTTTGTTTTAAAATGAATTTCCCTGTATTCTCTGTTCTCAGGGAATTTGCAGGATGAAGTGATGAGCTTGCAGAAAGAAATCCTGCTGCTGCAGAGAGAAAAGCTTCAGCTTCAGATTTCCTATTTGAAAAAGATACTTGTCTCAGTTGAATGAATGAAGTGACTAGTAGATTTCAAATGCCACTGTTTCATTTAGTATGTAGCCAGAATATATGAATTCAAATGGTTTGTGCAAATTATTTGTAATTTTGTTTGGTTATTCAGTGTATTTTATTCTGCTTCTTTATTGTTTTTATTCAGATGTTTTACTTTTATATTCTGTGTTTGCTTGCTGTCTGTTCAGTTCTTTATAGAGAATACTCCCCTGGCTTTACAGTGGTACTTCCCAGAGTGCCTTTGAATAAAATGATACATATTATGTGGTTTTTGATTTAAAGCATTAAAACCATGAACTGGCTTGCAAAGTTGAAATATACAGTTAATCCCAAAATTATTCCCACGTCTGGCAGATTTGGATTTAAATTTATTATTAAACCAAAATAAATAAATAAATGAATAAATAAGTAAATAAATATGTATAACACCAGGTGTTTTGAACTGTTTAGCTAATAAAAATGAGTGCTATTATTCAGGTAATTAGAATGTGTAATCAGTGTGGACTACCGGTAATTTTATGATTTTGAAAACTTCAACATTCCCACACACTCAAACTTTCCAATGACCGTGAATTATTTCAAATATTCTTCTTTACTGTAAGTAAAACATACAAATAATTCATTTTTTTCTGGGACATCTGTATTGAGTACATGAAACATGCTGAAGTTAACACTTTGCTGTAAGCCACCAACCAAAATGCTGAGCATAATGTTCTAATCACGTTCAGTTATAATTGTTTACAAAACAGCTAGAAAAAAGGAAAATATATTTAAACTATAAATAACCAATATTTTATGCCTATATCTTCTTGTCTTTGCACAATTGTGTTTAAATTTTTTTTTTTTACATGTGCTGCATTCAAGCTTCACAAGTTGGCTCGAATATTTCCAAATTAGGGAGAAAAAAAACTCGGTCAGTTAAATTAACTCTTGAAAAAAAATTATGTTAATATTTAAATAAAATGGGAAAAATAATCTAGATAATTTGATTTAGATTTTTTTCAATCAACTACATATCCCACATTTGTTCTTGTCTCGGCTTGTCGGGAAACCACATTTCCGTGAATCAACTGAAGTAAGCTTACAAGTCACGTGACTGGCCCCTTTAACGAAAACACAGAGGCTTCGAAGAGGCTACAGCGGCGATTTGTCAACAAGGTGTGAGGCGCTGTCAACTTTCTGTTCGTCCTTCGAGCTCCACCTGCAGCCACACCAAACCATCACCCACCTGTCCGGCAGGCAGGCCGTCTCAATGCATTTCAGAGGACCGAGAACTCCGAGGCGGCCATGGACGTGTACGACTTGTTTAGTAGTTGCAGAAAGGGCGACATTTGTAGAGTCAGGTAACCAGCGGCTCTGTTCACGTCGTTTTGGTGCATAAACACTGTTTCACAAGCATCCGCTTCACCAGGCTGACGTCCTGACATAGATGTGCGATTAAACAAAACAGACAAACAAAAACATAATAATAATTAGGCCTCTCCTGTCCCGCTAACTGCTGTTAAACGGCGTTTCGCTCGGAAGCGGAAGATTGCTAACGTTAGCGCCGATGACCCAGCTTGTCAGGCTAACGTTTGTAAGTCAGAGTTTGTGTGTGCAATATTCAACATTAAAGTATTTAATATTGCGATTGCTGTATTTTGCAGCGATATATAGAGTTTATAGTTTTTCTATAAGATACATTTTCGGTTTTTGTCTTAAAACATTTATTTGCTGAAGCTTTTTGCACGTTCTAGTCTGATTTAGCTATCTTACTATGTCTATTTCAACTGTGTTTAACTTATTGATTGTTTAATATTATGTTTGTACAGCACTTTGTGGACCTTTGGTTATTTTAAGATGCTTTTACAAAGTACTAGAAAGACATTTTTACCCATCAGCTAAGTCACTATAAATGCATATTTATTTGTAGACATTTTATTATAATACACTTTAAAACATTACCATTTTATTCGATATGCAATTTTACTTTATGGGTAAAATAAGAGTGAAATATGGATTTGGTACTACTTTACTGTCAAGTGTTGTTTGGAAAAGACTTTATTTTTGACCATTTTAAAAGAATCCACACAAAATAAACAAAATGACATACAACTGAATAATGAACCCTTCTCCTGATAAAATTAGTTCATAGTCTAAAACATACAGGAAGACAATCATTAAAAAAATAGTGTGACCATTAACTGTAATAATAATAATAATAATAATGCAGAAATTACATTTATAGAAATGAATTTCAGATTAGTGGTACAAATAAAAATAGACATTTCCAACAAAGTATTTAGATTTTTCTTTCCTTGTAAAGAAACCTTATGTTTTTACATTTATTGTTTTATTTGTCTCAGATTAATATTTTTCATAAATTCTTTTGTTTTATTGCCTGTAAATAAAACTTCCCTCCCTTTTAAGGTCATTATCCTCCTTAAAAGGGAGGATAATGGATAATATGCTCACAGATCAGGCCTTATGGTTCTCTTTAAGGTACCTTGTTGAACAAAGGGATGTGGACCTCAATGTGAGAGATAAATGGGACAGCACACCTTTGTAAGTATATTGTTTGCAGACCTGCGTTTATTCTAAAGCTATTTACTACAAAGCATTATCATAAAAGTTCCCTAAAAAAAGAGATGGTTTTCCTACAGGTATTATGCGTGCCTCTGTGGCCACGAGGAGCTAGTCCAGTACCTGTTGGCTAGTGGTAAAATTACATTTTCACTGGATAATGTGAGATTTTCATAATAAAAGGATGTTTGCCGAAGAATTCTACATTTTGATTCTGTTTTTTCTTCATGTGGATTCCCTTCCAGGGGCCAAGTGTGAAGCCAACACATTCGATGGTGAAAGATGTGTGTATGGCTCCCTGAATGACTCAATCCGACGCCTGCTCAAAGATTACAAGTGTGTCAGCGTCCGTGCCATGCAGCGCAATGATTTTAACTATTTTCTACACATGTAAGTGTGCGGATTTTCTCTTTTTTAGGGTATTAAGTTTGGGAAAAAAAACTAATATATTGTAAAAGCTTGCACAGGTAAAAGAGTTTAGTATAAAACATATCCTTGCTTTTTCTCTTCAGGTTGTTAGAGCAGGGTCAGCACAGTGATGTCAAGTTTCTGGTTCATGGACAGATGTTTGCAGCTCACCGATGTGTTCTCACTGCACGTTCAGAGTACTTCACTGAAATGTTTGAGACAAAATGGAAAGGGAAGAACCTTATAACCCTCAAACATCCCTTGGTAATTTAGAATTTTACTTTAATAAATAAATTTGTGTCATTCAAGTTTAGTGGAATAAACTTTATGTTATTGGAACAAAAACTGTTTTTGATTTTAGATCAACCCTGCTGCCTTTGGAGCAATTCTTCAATATTTTTATACTGGTGAGTGGTTTTCTTTTTCATATGTGCTATGTTTTGATGCAAAAGAAAATAGAAACTGAAATACATATATTAAAAAAACCCTAACTAAATCTGATTAGACTAATGTAAAAAATGCGTAACAAAAAAGTGTGAACTTTATTAGCTTCATAACGTTACAGGACGAATGGATATTGATATAAGTCTGGTGGAAGACTGCAGGCGACTTGCTAAGCAGTGCAAGATGGCAGACCTTATGGAAGAACTGGAGAATAAATGCAAACAGGTCTATGAATTTGGTAAGACTGCTAGTTAATATGTACATTGTGTAGTTCATAATTCATATTGCTAGTTTATCTATTTTTCTCCTCTGGAGGCTTTGATTGTTTTGATCCACCATGAATTATAATCTGAAATGATCTTTTTCTTCTCCTGTCATTTTGAAGTGTCCAACAAGCCTGGAACATGTGTCAAAGTTCTCAGCCTTGAGCCTCACGCCTGTCAGCTCCAAGAGGAGATGGCCCAGTTAGCAGACTGTGCACTGCCCACTGAACTAAGAGTGAGACACTAAACCCAGTGAAATCCTGATGCTAAACACAGAACAACTGCTACTCCATATTCTTCTTTCTTGCCCCAGGTTGGATTTGGTGAACTTCCCTTTAACAGGGTTGATCTGTTCCCTACTTACCCTGATATCTGCTTCAGAGTGGAGGGGTTTGATTTCTTATGTCACAAGGTAGGAATTTCAAAGCCCACGAACATCAATCCAAACCCTAAAATTATCACTCTGTTAATGTCAGATTTTAATAATGTGTGTTTTCAGGCTTTTTTCTGTGGACGCAGTGATTATTTTAAGGCCTTACTGGAGGACCACTTCAGTGAGGGCGAGCAGCTGCAGTCGCAGCCCAGTACCCCAGTGATAACGTTGCACAACATCTCCCATGAAGTCTTTATTCACGTCATGTATTACATCTACACTGATGACACAGAGGTGTGTGAACACTGTCAGAAGCTTTTAAAGTGCTGTAAAAAAGTATGATCCTTTTATTTCGGTTTAAATTTTTCAAATCATCAACCCAATTTTATAATCAGACAAATTTAAGTGTAGTTATTCTGTTTTCTACGTAGGATTTTATTTTTCAGGAAATTTATTTGTTTGTTTGTTTTAGGTCATTAATATAATATTCCAAAGTTTAAAAATCATTTATTAAATTACCACCAAAATAAACATCAAGAGCTCATTGAGTTTTTTTCTTTAAACAACAGTGATGTTTTGTATTCAGCAAGATTGTCAACACGTTTTTCAATGCACTCATCTTTGACGCTGATTGGTCCTTCTTCCCCATCCAGTTGGCGATGGACAGCGTGTTTGATGTGCTGTGTGTGGCTGACATGTACCTGCTGCCGGGGCTGAAGCGTCTATGTGGGAAGACGCTCGCCAAGGCGATTTGTGAGGACAACGTCCTGCACATGTGGAAGACGGCCAAGCTCTTCCGTCTTTCTCGGCTGGAAGATCAGTGCACAGAGTTCATGGCAAAGATCATTGAGCGGGTAGGTGTCTTTGGGTGAACCTCATCATGCCTCAATTACCTGTGATTTAAACCTTGATGTTACTGACTGGTTTCTACACCATGTTCCAAATTATTATACAAATTAGATTTGAGTGTCA